GGTCGATTTTTATGTTCCCGTAGTACCTTAAAACCGCTCAAAAACTAATAGCAAGTGAGTTGGTGCCTGCTTACTCAGGAAACTGGGGTAGATCGAATCCCATCCTGCACGGAGCACAAGCACTCTGGGTTCGAACACTGACACATTCGCTGTTTTTACTTCGCGTGGGAAACGAAAGCTGTAACTCGGGTTCTTACAAAGCAATATCATTAAAATTTCTTGTGAAATAACCTGGACATGTTGGAAAGGTTCCCGGCCGATTCCCCGTTGGTAAAATCCCCCGACCTGTAAATTCCCTATTGATTAATTTTTTTGAAAAAAAAAAAGGTTTTCAATCTTCTACACCGTGCATAGAGAAGTGAGGGGGGGGGGGGAGGAAATTCGGTTCCCCCCGTCAACTGAGCCGGAACCGAAACGAGGGAGGTCTAGGCGAACGGAAGGAAAGAAGTCGCTAATCTTCTCTAATCCCGGAGGGGAGGAAATAATTTAATTATGTTATTATTTTCCCCCGCCTCAGGAAACTTGGTTTGCCTGAGGAACATGACAATAAATACAATGCCAGTCAGATCAGTGATAAAGATTCTCACGGGAAAGAAAAATAAAGGTGAAAAAAAGCAACAGGATGCATCTTCTGTCATCGTGCCACCTTTTTGTTTCTGGATTTTAAATGCACCATAGTTTATGGTTGATTTATTATTCGAATGTCAATTCCTTCCAAATGTCTGCTCCCACTGGTGGAGTAGTAAGGGGGTTGGGGGGCTTCATCTCCCCCAAGTTTGGTTCTAACTCCCCCAACTCTGGTCTAAATGCGTTTGCCACCCCCTTCCCTCCCTTCTTAGCCCCCTCTGTTCCACTTTGCCCCACCTTCGGCGAAACCCTGGCTTCGCCATTGGTTCCCACGAGATTGAAGCCCAAGCTCGTGTTCGCGTAGCGTCTTTTCTGCCAGAATGAAGTTCACGTAAATTTGCTGGTTCTCAGTGCGACTCGTAGCTCTCATGATACACAATTGCATATTTTCAATTTCCAATACAGATGCGATTTAGTTACTTTCATTGCGCAGTGACAGGAACAAACTTCTCGTCGATTTCGAGCCCAAGCAGTTCTCCATTTTCAGATCATGCCGTGAACGCCTTGCTACGGGTATTCCCTACCCTCAGTCGAGATGTCAGTGAGTTGATCACTAATGCCATCTTGGAGGTTGGGCTTGGTGGCCACTTGATTCGAGGAGTGAATTACGACTCACTTGATTCAGCGAGTCGTAATTAGACGAATTGAACATTCGGAGAGTTGCAGTCGGCGAGTAAGGCAGTCACCCCAACTTTAAACGTAAGTGGCGAAACGCCAAAACATGATCAATATACTGTATATCAGTTTCAATTTGAGGCATGACGCACAATTCTGGTCATTAAATTATGAAAAATCTGTTCTATGCTACTCGCCTACGGCAACCTCGAAGAGGATATGGAAACAGATGAGCTCGATTTCGTCCTTCATTAAAAGTGAAAAAGTGGAAGCGACCACCGTTTCCTCGCCTGACGAATTCTTGTATGCATGTCCTGGTGCAGCTGGTTCTTCTCTGTGAATCACAACCTGAGTCACTTGAACTCTGTTCAAAACGTTGTCCCAACGCTTATACTCCAACGACCTCCATTTCCTGATACGATTAGAACCTCAGACTAGCGCACATAGATGTGGATGTTTGCAGTTTCCGTCAAGCCTAGTGACAACTGCCTGTATGGCCTATCTTCAAGCATACAAGATCATCAAGCATTCAAGATCATCAGCATACTGCAGGCTTCTGAGGCGAGTGGTTCTACTCAGGATGCTGTCAGTGTCGCATCTAGGTAGAGGGTTTTAGCTATGGAGTTGGATGAGGCGGAAACAAAAATTCGGCGGATAAACAGTCACAATGGAAGAATGGGTTTCAGTGGCGGCTCGTGGACGAAAACTTCGGGGAGGCCAGCATATGATATTCATAATGAACAAGAATGATTTGTAGCATTAATGGGAACATGAAACATAAGTGTATTTAGGTCAGTCTTGTCGCCTGCAGTGGCGGATACAGAAATTAATCATGGGGGAGGGGGGCGCTTCCCCAGTTCCTACCACCACCCTCCGTCCTATCGAATTTTTTTTTAGTTTGTTTATTTATTTATTTTTTAAATTTGGGGTAAGACCTGAAATCCATTTCACAGGCCCCAACGAAAATTAATTCACGAGCTTCTGAAACTCCTGACTGATTATGGGATTGGTATTGGAAAGCGAAGGTTCTGAGGAACAACTCAAGTAAAATATTTAAATTGTATGACTATTTAAATAAAGTTAAGAGGGGGGGGGGGGGGGGGGGGGGGGGGGGGGGGGCCGTCCCCCTGGTCGCCTGATGAGATGCATTACTTTAACCCTTTATAGAAAGAAGAGTTTATTACTTTTTTAAATTTATTTGCTGACTCCTTACATGCTATACTCCACGAATAAATTTTGAAAAAAAAGTTCCAACACGAAATCTATGCAATAACAAAACAAAGGGTACGTGTGAGACTCTTATGCTCTGGAGGGAAATATTTATCTCACTATCCCTCTCAGACGAAGCAAGATACAAGAGGTAGGAAATTTTTCCCCGATGAACTATATAGGGTTAAGTGGCAGGTAGCAAATAAAAGGCCGAACAAAAACGTTTCAAGTTGGCAGTGAGTATTGAATAGAAATGAAAGCTAAGTGGCAATAAGCACCGCAACGAACACTGGAGGGAGAAAAGAGGCGCATCCGGTCCAACGAGAAAATGATCGGTCTGACGACATTCTCCCCTTGCAAGTTTCAGAACTTTTTCCAAACAAAATCAAATGTAGCTTACCAAGGGAATATCATGATTATGTAGACTGAATCATGTGACTTTCTATCCTTTGCAACTGTGAATTGTCAATGCGGATTCGGATTGACTGAGTAGCCCTCTACTCAGTCAATCCGAATCCTCTACTCCAAGCTCAAGGCCAAAATACATGCTAGCGCTTGCTAACAGGCACCCGCTCATGCGTGATGCAGATGGTGAGACCGGCCTCCCTACTCTCTTCACGGGGTCGAATTAAGAAGTTGCGAGGCCTGGGCCTCAGGCCCAGGCCGGATGAACCACCTCCGCGGGACGTATGCTTGACACCCCTCTTTTAGAGTCTCATGGCAAAATTCCCAGCTTGAAGTCTTCGAACGCCGACGGGAAATATTTAAGAGGAAATCAAGTGCCTGAAAATTGTCCAAGAACATAACTTTATTTAAATAGTCATACAATTTAAATATTTTACTTGAGTTGTTCCTCAGAACCTTCGCTTTCCAATACCAATCCCATAATCAGTCAGGAGCTTCAGAAGTTATGGCTTAAATTAGGCTGTTTTTACTGAATCAGGTTCTGCAATCCAAGTTTTGACAATATTTAGCTTGCAAATAACTCATTCAAGGGAAATTAAATTTGTTGTAAGGTAATCAATATCGCTGAGTAGAAAAAAATCAGAAAAAAAAGATGCCATGCCATTTAGTTTTCTTGCTAGTTTAACCTGCCATAAAAGAAACTAGAATTCTCAAAACGAAACTGAAAGGAAGGAAACCATTTTAAAACGCAGCGAGGTTGGTTTCCGTTTGTACTGGAGAGTAGATTAAGAACAAATTGTATCATCTCCATCACCTCAAGCTACTAGTTACTAAATCCACCTGGTCTTGTGAGCCAGGCTTTGATGAGAGCAAAGTAGAAGTGAAGGTAGATCTTAGAAGAGATGTCAACTGGCTATCAACTACCATGGCACATGTTAATGAGCCAATACAAACAGGACTCACTGGTACGAACTCACTCTTCAGGACTTAGGGCATGAAAAGTTTTTGACTTAATGGACAACTGAAACCAGTAAGATATTTTATTCTATAGCATGTGTTCCTCTTGCCATCCAGGCAGCCTACCTTGAGCCTGAAAATTTCAGCATTGCAGATGCTCTGAATGTTTGAAGGAGAGGTCATTGCACCATGGGTGCCATTTCTGCTTGCATGAATCAGTTGATGCTCATCCATGTGATAAAGGGCCTTATTACTGAAAAAAAGTCCATACATTAATGCTTCCCTATAAAGTGCATAACTATAGCACTATGCTGGCAGGGAATTTTTTTTTCCAAATTATTTTTTCCATGGCAGAGTTGATGAGACAATTTTCTGTTGGCTCAACTGCTTTCCCTGCTTCCGGAAGTCAGAAAAAACATATTGACAGAGGAAACACTCAAGAACAATGTGATAGCAAAAATCTCGCAGGAAAAAAGAAGACAAATATGGCAAGTCAAAAAAGTATAATGCAATAACTTTTAATTAGACATGGTGAGTTGTGGAGAAGTAATTTTGGCTCCACTTTACCATACAAAAAGTATCATGTATTTATAACACAACATCAAAAAAAGGAATTTCTCAGAATACAAATGACAGCCAAGGCTCCAAAATAGATACATGAGGATGTCAACTTTATAATTTAATAGAGCCAATTTGAAAATATTTCCAATGATTTAATCCATGTATATGAACATTCCACAAAACCAGAGTAATACCATAGCATGGCACTGCAAGTCACATAGAAAGTACAATGGCATGCCTCTCTCTCATTGACTTAAGTCTTCAAATTCACCCTAACACAGAGAACAATATTAGACTAGCAGGGCCATGCATGAAAAGAAAAATATAATTAAACCTATGATACTTCTCTAAGAGACCCATTGCCCTGCGAGGCTGAAAAGGAATTTCTTCTTAAGATCTTTGTAGTATGTAGATGATGGTGTGGTGTCACTCCTTGGCATCACCAATTCCATCAGGATTGATAGCAAATACAGCTTCTCCTTCTGGCAGACAGGGAGAGTCATAAATTTTGCATATTCTGGTCTCCCCTCTTCCTTTCCGAAGGTACAGCCTGGGCAAGACAAACTGGGCATGAAGGAGATTTGCCCACAAAAAAATCAAAAGAACAGAAATCAGTGTGAACCTTCTCACCTGGTTGTTGATGCATGAGCCATGATGTTTCCACCTATAGGTTTTTTAGGATCAGCACAGAACAATGATGCTCCATCTACTTGAGCAACCACTTGGTTTGTTATCATCACAGCTACACCAAACTAGAAAGAGAAATATTGGGTGAAGGTATTTATTTTCTTTGTTTTTAAGACAATGTTAGTGATAACTCCTGCATGCCAAAATAACTTTACACAATCTTTGCAAAAGAATATCAAGTACACCCTAATCTTCTAGGGAGCCCAAATATTGAATTTATCACCTACCTTATAGTAGTGGACATATGACTAGTAATTCTCAAACACAGTGGTTTTTTTCATAGAATGATACTGCTTAATGCCTGATGAGGTATCACCCAAACACAGCAAACCCTTGCCATTTGCGGATTCTTCATTTGCAGGTAGCAGCATTACATATTCCCAGCTGACTTATTCATTACTTGTTTCCTCTATTATTACATCCTTTATTACTGTCAAAATGTGATTATTTTTCCATCAGAAATGTATCCACCTTTTCCCCATAAGCCCTTAGTATCAGCATTCACAGTTTTCCTGCTCGCAGGCGTCTCACGAATGTATCCCCTGTGAATGGCCAGGGCCTGCTGTATACCTATTCTACTTGATGAGGAAGCCTGTTTCTTTTGCTAAGCTCCTTTCCTCGAAAGAGAAATGAGGCTCTTGATAAACTTGCTGAGACATGTGTCTGCATGAAGTTCAATGTTGATGAGAGTTCTGTTCCTTCAAACTTCACATCTCTTTAGTTGTCTATTATTTCTATTGTCTATTTAGATGTCTATTATTCTCATTGTAAAGCTGTGAACTAGATGGTCTCTCTTCACCCTTGCCATCCCCATGTTCACTGTCTAGGTATCCTCTTGTTATCTCTTCCTCCCTACCCCTTCCTTCAAGCCTCACATAATTTTGTCTATATCATCTATGAGGGGGAGTCAACAAATAAGGTAAATTTAAGTGTAGCTTCAAAACAGTTTACTCCAGAAACATGAACATTCACTATTTTTCAATGTAATCACCTTCTACCTCAACACATATATTCCAGCAACTGACAAGCTTTCTGATTCCATCAGAGAAAAAAGTTTTTAGTAAAGAACATAGCAAATTTTGCACCACAATTTGAATGTCTATCATTCCTGCATTTGTGCTCCCGTAGTGCAATTATCCTGAATTGTTTTAAAATAGTTCACACCGCTTGTACATATTTTTTTGAGATAAAAAACTGCCCCCATATTGTGCAGATTCTACAGTAAATTTCACTTGGTTTAACTCTTTCTGATAGTAAAAATCGAATGACACTTTGCTGTTCAACAGCAGTGCAACCTGAAAGTGGTGCCTGCCATTTTAAAAACTGGCTCAGTGACTATGTTGCCAACTTTATATCATGGAAACTACAAGTACAATATGTTCAGACATGCAGTAATGAGGGTATGTGGTAATGAGTACATAATGGGTACATAATGTCTGTGAAAAATGTAAATTCACCTTAGTTATTGACTCAACCTTGTATATTGCCTTTATAGCTCAAGGGTGGAATGTTGCTGCAAAATGGGTTTTCCTCATTTTTTACATAAGATACAAAATAAGACAATTCAAAGAAAGAGGCTCTATCAGATAATGAGGCATCAAAAAGATCAACAGTAACAGATAAAAACCCCTTCAGCCCTTTCCCCACTGGCTGTGATTAACTTGCACTTCACCTATCCTGAAAAAAAGTTTGCTCTAAATTACAAAAGTAAAATGAAACATGTTTACCATGTTAAAATTGTTCTACTCCAAAGCCTATCACTGAGATCTCTAATGAAATGTCGGATATTGAATGCCAAGTGCAATATGCCACAATTACTTTGTCTGTGAGACATGAGATTTTCACCCAGTTACCATGACATTTCTTTGTATACTTACCCATGAATAAAATAGAGTATAAACTAAAATACCAAGAGAAGACAGCTTCCCTTTAAAGATGAAAATCTCAAACCAATCACCAAGGAAGAGTGAGAAGTGGCTTTGTCATAAAGAACAAACTCATCTCATGTACAAGATGGCTTCACCCTGCTCTCCTTATAGTTTTTGTGCCTCTATAGGTGCAGGAAGATTTATGTCAATGTGATAGGGGGACTGGCAGCAAATAATCCCACAAGAGGAGGTTTCTACAAATGTGTCACTGGAATTCTCATCAGCTACTCAAGATATGAATCTACATTAAAGAAAGCCAGGAGGCAAGATGTACAGTTTGTTCCTACACCCAGAAAGGTGAGAGGGGGTACCTGTCCCAGTGGCTCCTGCTTTTTTTATCCCTTTGTTTAAACCTTGCTACATCTGTGAGTGAATAGAACATGCCGCATTAAGTAGCTTTATATCAGAGTTGATTGTACCTCATCCGCCAGGCGCAGAAGCATCCTTAGGAAACGTGCCAGGTGCATTTGTCTTGCAGACAACTCTCCTCTCCCACTGTAGTCAGTGCGATACAGTGATGTTGCACTATCCACAATCAGTAGGGCATACCTAAGTAATTAAAAAAAGAAACTGACAGTTTAAATTCATTTCTTAAGCAAAATTAACTGGTAACATTCTGGTTTTCACAGACTCAGTAGCACTCAACATTCTAAATTGATATTAAAATAAAGATAGAATGTGACAATGTGTCTTAACCATCGGGTAATTTATAAGCAAGGTCATTTGCTGCTTCCTAACACATGCATTCAAATATTGGCAACAACCTGACAAAAAGTATGACTAAGTCACTTCCAAAAAGTCATCATTCATCAGACATCTGTCTCACAAATCTGAATTTAAAAGCACTCTCAAATTTTTCTCTGGAAATTTCTACTAACAGCAAAGTGACTCCAGCTGTCACTATATGCTTTCTGGGATTCCAATCCTCATGAGCTTACTAATGTGATTTATTAGAGGGGAAATTAATTCTTAAAAATTCATGAGATTTTCTCACAGCTGTCTAGTCACCTGTTCAGATCAAATGCACTTATATGTGAGCAGTCACATATACCATGCTGCCAAAGTCAAGACCCACTCACACAAATGATGATATACATGGTGTAATGCCACTTTGGGCCTCAGTAACCACGTGACTGCCAGGTGGCAGGTATACAAGACTCCATACTTCCATGCTCTGGAACATCATATCATGATGTAAGCTTGCTGTATTCTAACATAGCATGGTAATTGAGTGCCATCAGGTAAGGAAGCCCAGCCAAGCTACCACAATACTCACTGATGTGCCTCAGTAAGGTGCATTGTCTAATAGCATGAGACCCTTGGACATGCAGATAACCTTCCATTGCCAGGACAGGTTCAAGTTGTCACCCATGTGAAAGGGGGACTTGCACAATCAATACAATGTTGACATGCGAAGCAATAGCCATGTTCATGAGTGGACCTTGACTTTTGGCAAGATATTGAAGCCACTGAATTAATTATAAATGACATTAACACATCAATGCATAGGATGATAAAATATCCAGCGAAGGGCCACAGTGCATAAAATTCCAATAACTAAACATGTGTAGCATGTACACCTTGCAGTGAAATTGGTTACCTTTCTGCATGCATACGTCATTGCAGGAGTGTGCATGCTACTCATGTTTGGTAATTAGAATTTTAAAGCACAATGCCCATATTTTGGACATGCCCTTAACACAGTCATCACTGGGTATTTAACACCTACCAGTTCCAGTCCAAGACAGCATATCCTGTTATGTTCTTAAATATAAATTATTGGACAAGGAAACTAAAAGTTGAAGAAAAATCTAAAACTGGTTATGGAAAAATAAAATCAACAACCCCAGATAAGATATAGCTTCCAAGAAAAATGTATTGAACAGTTCTATGTTACATTATTCATCAGGCCAGAAAGGAAAACAATGGCAGCAGGGAGTCAGTTGCTACACGAGATTTGATCTAAGAAGAGGGCCCAGCTTAGAAAATCCATAGGCTAGAACTATGTTGCTACACCTGACATTTTGGATGAGCTGACTAATACAAGAAAGAATATAGATCTCTGTTAGTCATTCCATACTAATAAGTTCTACACACAGCAGTAGACCATTCTTTTCCCCTTTGTATTTAGTGATATTGGGGAAGGTAGCATTCACTGGGAAAAATTTCTTTGGGAAATAAGATGAGAATGTGACCTAACCTAGCATCAGCCATCATGGCAGCAGCCTGGATAAGTAACTGGGACTGATGATCAGTGTTGTAGGCTCTTGCATATGCCACATTGTCCAGGACATCTTGACCCACAAGACCATACCTCTCAGCTGTAGCTAAGAGACGCTCAGGTCGAAACGTTCCCTCAGTGTCAATGTATAAGCATTTCCCTTCTCCTCCTCCATTATCAATGGGTAGCTACAAGTGAAAATTTTATCTATTTCATATCATAGTTCACTTTCACTGCCAAATGTGAAAAACTAAAACTAACTCATGAGGAATGGTAATGCCTAGATAACCATGGACAAAGGGATACTAAAAATGTTTTTAACCTGACAGGTGACAGCCAGTGTATGGCATAGCTGGCTTTTCCCTGAACGGAATTCCCCGAACACCTCGGTAATTGATCCAGTTTCAATTCCACCACCAAGGAGCTTGTCTAATTCACGAGAACCTGTGGTTAGCTGCACAATTTCAGACCTCTTCTGATGAAATTCTGTGGCTGTTGTGAAACCCAGGGGAACAAGCTTTCCAGCCTCAGCCTGGAATTTTACATAAAATCATACCAGTCATAGTCTTATAATTGGTATTCCTAAACTTTTCATGACCTGAAATGAACAGAAACATACCAAAATTTTGTCAGCCTTAGCTTCACTGATACCCTTTATGGCAAGTAAAGCCTTCTTGGGAGCAAATGCTACAGACTCAACAGTGTGGAATCCAGCTTCCATCAACTTCTTCACATCCCCACTTGTTACTCCATGTTGCTGAAAGAAGAAAGAAAAGTCTTGTCAGTACTTAAAGTAGGTGTTTCTTCAAATGGTTTGAGAAACAATTAAAAGGCTGTGATTCTCAAATTTCATGGCTTGCCAAATTACAAATATAAAAGGAAGTAGAGGGTGGGGTGGAGTGCCATAAACATAACACCAGAGCCCTTTCACTTAGTACCCAGTAAGGTGGCAATATTTTCTCCATCAAATAAATAAATTATTCAGTATCTAACTGCAGGATCTCACTCCTTGCCTCCTGCTATTAATTCATAAATGAGACAAGCTACCTTTCATAAAAACAGCACCATATTAACCCTTTGCAGTCCTATTATTTTTAAGTTTTGCAGGCCAAAAAATCCAATTTTTTAGTTTTTTATTGAAATAGGTCTGAATGAGGTTTTATTATTTCTATTTTAGTTGAGTAATTTCTAGCCATTTGATGAAGTAAAAATAACACCTATAAACATGCAAAAGAATAGCAGTTCCATTGAGCAAAATTATTACCATAATGCGACAACTTTGACTCAACTCTCTCAACGGCACTACCCAGGATAAACTGGCCTTATGTAAACAATAACTGCATGGTTTCAATAAAGGACACAAGCAATGATGTTAAATAAACATGGTGTCACATCCTACAAATGATATAGAACCCAAGAGATTGTGTGTAAGTTTTTTCATCCTGGGGATGAGGTTGAACTGCAAAGAGTTAACTTTGTCAACAGTTAATGACTCCATAGACAAAAAGAAAACCTAAAATTGTTAGCTAAGTAACAAGAAAAACATGTTTAATCAGGCATATGAAACTATGGAAATAAACCATCCATTACTCTGATGATTTCCCATCAGTTTCTCATAAACATGCATGAATTAATGGATTACTCCATATCAATGCCAACTTTATGGATAACAAATTCCAAGAACCCTGGTGCTAACAGAACAGGATGGGGAAAGGCAAATGGAAACAAAGGGCTGCTGAGGATCAAGCTAGACAGGAGCAAAACTATTGAGGGAAAAGGGAAGATGAAGAAGAGACTGGTAAAGAAAAAGCCTTCTTGACTCTCTTGCTACCCTATGTAAGCCTACAGAGTGCAAAAGCAAATGCTGAAATATTGGCAGAGGACTGAGCTGGTGAGCAGAATAGTATGAAGATATGTACAAAATCAACACTACTAAAATATTCCCAAGAGGGATTATCTCTTCTCTGAAGGTACCTATGTGGATTCACAAAGAAATGAACGTATCACCATGGATCATGATGATATTGATATAGGACAAACATACACTGTTTTCAGATTGAATTTATGCCCCCCATATATTGGAGAATGGAGAAAACACTACTCTTCCAGAGGATCTGCTTCATCAGAAGATCCAAAAACAATCATGTGAATCATGTCTACCTGCACTAGATGGAAATGCTCCTATGGGGGGGTATGAATTCAATAAAAAGACAGGGTAGATAATACATTTGTAAATTACAACCATATCAACGTAGCAGAGATACATAAAATTGATCAGTCACAAGGGCCTATGTTTAGAGGTGTTAAAGATGGAAGAAGGGAAGGGTGAACCAGTGTACACTTCTTGCATCAGATGATGATGCAGGTGAATAATGCTAACTTCCTCCCAATTCAGTTCAGCTCAAAGGACTTCATAGTCATAGATGGACTGTAGTCATAGGGAGCATCAAGAGTTTCAAAGTCTTTTCTTAAGGTCTGTCAAGTTATACAAGGTGCAGCATAAGTCGCCTTACCAAGAATAATAATTTTTGGATTGAGATGCACTGATTTTGCACCACTGATTTTAAAACGCTAGGTGCAGTAGTGAGTTTACCAGCTGGCAGTTTAGTAGAAATTCTATTTCTACAGCATATTAAAATCAGTGTTGCCAAATCAGTGCAGCCAAATATAAAAATAAATCTTCTTGGTAAAGGGACTTATGTTGCACCCTGCACGTAGACATCAAATAGTATTAGTCACATGGATATTGACCAAAACTCCAAATAAACATTGGTAAATACTTGGAAAACAGTTGGATCTTCTTGATAGAGGCATATCCCTACCTACCTTATTTTCTTATGCTAGGGATAGATAGTTCAGCCACTAGAACTCACTTCCAATTTCTTCACCAATTGTGGTCCATATTCCTCACTTTGTTCCGTCTGTTCAGAAGACCTAGTTCTTTCAGCCTGTATGGTAGCCATGCTAGTAGGACTGTAGAGCCTGATGTTAGGTCTTTACCACAGGCCCAACACTCCAATGTCAAGCTTAGCTTGTCCCAATGGAGTCTCAGGTCTCTCAAACTTAAACCTATATATGAATGAATACTTACAGTGTTAAAAAAAAAAAAAACTACCAAATCATTTTCGCAATAATTAAAGTACTTTTCATCAGATCGATGCAATTTTTTAGGTGCAGTATGTTAAAAGAGTAAAGAAGGAAAGTACCTAACTTTAAGAAAATTGACCTATAATATCACATTCTACACCAGTTCAAACTTAATAGGTTAAAGAGTGTGCCGTACAAGCATGCTGATGCATACACCTCGGCCAGTGAAGTGAAGGAAAGCTTGTGCATGCCTTACAAAAGGGGCAATGTCATGTTCTCCCTTCATCACCTATTTTGATGACATTTTTGGCTAATTCAAAGGAAATTCATACCTGGTATTAGGCAAACATTTCATTATCAATTTAGGAAACAAAGGGAAAACACCATGCCCTCTGTCTCTTAGGCTATTTGGTAAGACACACACACACAACTTCCATTCACTTCACTGACTGAAGTGAATGCATCAGCGAGCTTGTACAGCACACTTTTTTACCTATTAAGTTTGAACTGGTATAGAATGTGATAATATGGGTCAATTTTCTTAAAATTAGATACTTCCTTTCTTTACTCTATTAATATGCCTCATTTAGAAAATTGTGATGATCTAATTAAAAATACTGTCATTATTAGTGAAAATGATTTGGTGTGAACACTGGGTAGTTCAGCCTTCACAATTAAGATGCTAAGATGCATGCTAGGATTATAGGTAAGATAAGATTTATTACCTAAGACTATGTCCTCATGCCAGGAATGCTACAGCAGGAATGGAACGTTGCTGTTACAAGCTACATGAATCTTCTATCAAAGCTTGATCCCTGTACAGTACTTCTTGCCCTGTGGCCTAAGGAACAAAACTGAAAGATGAGTGCTTAGAATGTACAAGATAATAACTGAAGTATTGGTTGCATCCCTTGCTGCAGACCTAAAGACATAAGCATAGAAATGATAAAGGGACTGCACATGCTTCCCTAGACCTCTATAAGTCAACAGCAAAGCTAGTATTGGCATGAAGGGGCACAAGGCAGACATTGGCCTGGGCCCATAAGATTAGATTCACATGATAGTCTCCCCTGGGAAGCCCTATAGGACTATACTACTGCCCTAAATAGGCCGAGGCTCAATGAGTACCTTTTTCTTTCAATTTCCATTGCACAGCGACTTTCATGACAATGAGTGAGGCCTCAGTCCAGTAGCTCATGAGAAGTAACACAAAATAGCTTAAGTATAAGTCCTAGGCGAACTGATCGACTAAATGTTGAGAGACAACTTTCCTGATGCGGAATTGACCAAAGCCAAGCTTACTCCTCTTCTATATCTAGGCATCGGCAGCGCACTCAGGGAGACCTGCAGCTTCATCATTACGTCTCGCAACCTAGATATAATGCTCAGCCAAAGGCATGTCATGAGCATCATAGTCTAGGCTCAACATAAGACTTAATCCAAATCCCTATGGCTCCAAATAACCTTTAAAAAGGTTGACCTCTTAAACTCTTATCGTACCGAAACAGCAACTGTCCGCGCGTGCATGGCTTTTCTGCAGAGTTGTCAACTACACTTCAGCGTTCTAATATTGTCGTGACTCTCTGAAGGCACAAGCCCTTTAGTTTTGAGGGTAAATTCTGCTCGAAATATCAATTTTCAACAACACAGGAGATAATAGTTCAGAATTCACTTATGATGGGAAAAATATTACATTTATATTATGTGTACGCCACAATTAGCGCAACGAATCACGGAACCTGCGCCCACGGCAATACGCACTTGGCGCACGGTTGCCAAAGCCACATATTCCATGTGCAAACCTGACGTCCTACCTAATCGGTCTGTGGGTGACCAGACTTCTGTCCATCAGAAGCATTGCAAAAGGGTTCTCCTATGCTCTTCACGATATTTTTTTTTCTATAAAGAAATAGCATGAAGTCCTAAAGCCATCGCCCCCACCCAACTGTTCACCTGTTTGCGTTTCAGAACATGCATGGACTTGTTTTCCTGTCTCAGCCACGAATGTGAGGTATGAAAAACCGTTCATGCGAGGAGAGTAGAAGCAAACTCGCCAAATGATTGCGACGTGATACCGTGACAAATTTTCCGCCCTTACTTATGGTTGAAGGGCCCAACGGTCGATCTGCACTGAGTCACTGTTGAATAATTAAAGTTGCTTACAAATGAATCATTTTTGCAATGGCATATTTGCAACCTAAAATAAAATTTCAATGGGCAATAATTTTTCACGTTAAATGCCTGAAAAATTATCGGATGAAAAGTGACCATGATTTGTGAGTGAACTGTTCAACAGCACTTTCATTTGTCATATTCCATCAATTTGTTCAGATTTGAATATTGCAATTATGGCTAAAAGGTGTGATGATGAGATTATCTCCTTAGGGATAGCCAGAATTATTATATTTTCTATTTCTATCATGCATTTTCTTCGCAATGTTATTCATTGTGAAAATTCCGATCCTGCATTCGGGGGGATGGTTCTTTCCTTATTCGTTCAGAGCGCCCTCGCGAAGAAAGGGCAACGGCCTTTTTACGATGCGACATCGTTACTCAACTGGCGTAAAGACTGTGGTGAGCGTGTAGAATGCTCTTCGGTGTCGGTGCTGGCGGGTTGACCGACCGGCCCGCCGACAAGGAAGGAAGCATGACTTCGCGGGCAGTCGGACTCGAAACATAAGCTCCGGGAACACCTCCATCATGATGCCTTCTCTTTCTGTGGCAAGTCTGCAATCTCTCCCTCTCCATCTTTCTGTGCAGGTCTCTCGCCATTTTCAAGAAATTCGATGAGAAAACTTGTTGCTACACAAAGTTTAAAAAATAATTATTATTATATGATGCTTAAAAATCATTAGGCTACAAAAACGATTAGAGCAACATTTATTTATGGAATGAGTGTTTATGCTTCCTACCATGGCATCGGATTGAAGTTACGATTTACCTGATGTTTGATGTCGAAGCATTTATGAAAATAGAAATACATAAAAAATCAGCCTTGAAATACACAAGAAATGAAGGACATCTTTGATCCAAGGACAAGTCATGTCTTAACGAGGTCAAAGGTGACTTTTGTTTCAGTAGTGAGCCCAAGGTCGAAGCAACAGTGGCCTTGGGAATTTCATAGACTCGTGAAATAATCGTTGGCTATGGAATATGACTGAACGGTACCTGTATTCACATAGTGAACAAAGGACAGTGGACAAGTTATTCGTCATGGTAGTGAATGATAGTGCCTGATACCTGAAGTTTCTGAATACGAGGGATTGGTTTTGTCAAACCTGGAATTCCGATTCGGCTAAAATTTTTATTTAATAACTGGAATCTAGAGTTTGACTTGCTCCAGAAACCAACTCATCATATGAGGCATATTTTCCAAGATCGTGAGACCTGTGGGCACAAACAACGGCCGATCGGGAATTTCATGCTTCTGATTATGCCCAGACGCATGCGCAATTCTCAGCGCTTGCATATGTCAGGGCTGATTCAGCCTTTCTACTGCAGTGGAAGAAGATCGAAGTCTGCTACATGAACTTCACACCCTGAAGTGAGGCTAATGTAAGGACCCAATAGGAACGCTCCTAGTTCGGTTTAGCCTCTGTCAGGCTTACCTGGAATAGAGTAAGCGGAAGCGATTAGTCAGCTGCCTGCGCGACGCATCAGTCTCTACCGTGGGTGAACCATAGGCGGGGCTCCTTCGCTATATAACCATAGCTGTGCTATGGGATACCCTGCATCGAGGCTACGCTTGCATTGTCTGGAGAAACCGGCGCGCGCATTACACAGGTTTGTCCCATTGCGGAGACCTATATCGAGGCTATCCATGGAGGCGCGCGCAAGTGGGCTGTCTCTTCACGTGACCTCCTTTCTGCAATCCTCTTCTCATTGGTTGGCTTCAGTTGGAGCGCCTGCGCGGCCCGCAGTGTAGATGCTTCAGTTACCCTCTCACATCCTGTATCGTTGTTTTCTTCAGACCCCTTGGAAGAGGTTAGCTGAACTTGGGATGGTCCTCGCAGCCGCTGCACTTGCAGCTTTTTCGCTTCTACTTGACTGCAGTGTGCAACCCCGCATTGAGCGTACCCGTAGGGAGCGGGCAATTTTCCATACGTGAGTCATGAATCTCCCGAAGTATATCAGCGACGCAACAGGTGAGTTACTGTTATCGACATTCTTGTGTCTTTAGGTGCTTTATCACAATAGTGATTACACTGATGTAACGACGCGACGTCCGAGAGATTAAAATATCTCGGACGTCTCGGCTTAGCTTAGCACTAATAAGTAATAAGCCCTTTAGGCCGCGTTGTTCAGGTGCTAGGCTTTCAGACAGAATTTTTGAACTTTGGCTAATTTTTCCATCACTGCTCTTATCCCATTGAGGAATTAAGCGAAATTCGTCATAATTCCGTATCTGAGCCCGTCGCCACTCAAAATCAGATATCCTTGGGAAAACTTATCCACTCGTTGGGGTTGGAGTAAAAAATCTCTCTTAATGTTGTTTTCCCCTCGATATCTCTTCCTAGTAGTTTCGGTAAACAATAAGGAAAATAGGATAGAGAAAAGGAGACCAGTTGGGCTCTAGGCAGCATCAATCCCATCCAAGGGATAGGGTCCATTGTTAAGTCAATCTGATTTATTATTGAACCAGGAAATGATAGTTGGTGCCTCGTGGTTGATTGGCCCCGCCCTCAGCGCAGAATTGTAAAATAGACCGTTGCCCTTCCCTCTCCCACTCTTCCCCTCACTCAGCTCCGTTTGTCTTCCCCCTTCCCCATTGCCCTTAAATTCTCCGCCCCAATTAACTAGTCGCTTACCAACTTCCAAGGCTCGTATTTTCCGGCACACGTGAATGCAGCATGCGTACAGTCAAGCTTCTTGATAATTCCGAATAGAAGCAACGGATACCAATGTCTTCTAGTATGCACAATTATGACAGTGATTAATTAGGAATGCGGACTGCTGACATATTTCATTCGTTTCCGTTGAAAGCAGTAATCGCGTACGGACACCTGACAAGGTTATAATTCCAACCCTTTCGTGGCAGGGTCCATCGGGACTCATTCCGAAAACCAGTTTGCCTTCATCCTCCCGCTTCCGTCCGGGATGGCCTATGAGTAGCTCCTCGGGTGTGATCCCGATCTCTTGCCATTTGAGAAATGAGAATACACAATAGAAGGCATTCCATTCATGCTGCAAGCGAGACATACTTATGATAGCAAATAAACATTTATTGCGGAAGCACGAGTAAGTCCAGCAAAGTAATCAACGCAGCCCTTCTAGATGAGGGAAAAAGTCAAACATTACTAGGGACAAAAATGGAAAAAGAAGTTGGTGAGGGCGATAGGAAAGAGGTAGGCCTAAAGGGAGAAGAAAGTGAAGTGTTAGGAATGGAAGCCACGTTGCAAGATTCATCTTTTAACTGCAAGGAGTTCCTTTGGCCTGAACGGAACGATCAACGCGAGGTCACCCATCTTAATCATTTGAGCATGTACGAGATTATTCCGATTGCGTGTGTGTCTCCGTATATGACGACAACGTTGACACCCCGGATTCCAGGAGTGAGAGGGACAGGAAGCAGCTTGTTGCAGTAGTCGTAACAATTGCTTACACCAATTGTCAGTAATGTGAACAAGATAATACTTACGCTATTTGAATTTTACCAGGCGGCTTTTCCCACTAGCCAGACTCGGGCAGAAGGCTGCAGTGAGCCTTTGTTAGCCCTGATTTATTCATAGGCAATTGACAAATAGGAATGCTGAACGCAACGGACTGTAGGGGAAATCAATTCCACTTTCCATGTAAATAGTCGCACAAGTTTTTTTTCCTGCGCATCATTACAATCTTCCTTAGAGCATGTTTTCTTCCGTGCAGAAAAGTAGATTTATTCAAATGTTCTGGAAACTACGGCCCGAATGTTAAAACCTCCTTTAGTTAACGGTCCTTTATGATCACATGGACTTCTGTGGGAGAAAAAGCTTTTTAACTTGAAGGCCCTTTTATCTCCCCTAAATTAGGTTTTTGCATTTGGGCCTTATTCTTCACAATTTAATAAGTTCGTATTAGGACTTTTTCATAAATGCAGCCTTGTACCTGGTAACTGCTTACTAGAAATAACTGACGGTTCAGTATGGAAGAAAATAGCTTGTCACGTGTAACACATTTTTACTTAGTTACTTTGCCTTGGAAGTGGTGTTGGAAAAATGTAGTGAAGACAGCTTGAAATGTTGCCTTTCTTTCTGACTATTGCTGTTGGGAAAATGTCTAGGCTTCTCTGCCTTCCCATTAGATCATAATATTCAGCTGTTATAGGTTAGTTCAAAAAATGGAATGTATAAAGGTCATAGAAAGGAATATTTAAGAAATGATTTGACCTGCTTACAGGGAGGTGTGTGCTGAAGAATGAACTATTTGATGAAGAGGAAATTTGCCAGATGGCAGAAAAGATCAAGGAAACCAATCGACAGAAGATGGCACAACTTCAGCAGCAGGCAACTACACGGCCATCTCTTCCTGCTCGACCTCTTGCTCAACAAACTGGTCAGACAACAATGCTGGATTATTTCATGAATGGGACCAAAGGTCTTCAACAACAGCCACAAGTGACACTACAGCAACAACAGAGCAGTCTGAAGCCTCTAGAACCAGACCCAAATAGTCTGGACTACCGCTCAAAGAAGGGAGAATTTGGGTGGCATGTTTTTGGCACAAATGATTATATTCCATATGTGTATCGCAATACCTCGGAAAAGTTCTGTGCAGTTCGGATGGCTGAACTGAAGCTCCTAAATAAGTTCCTGCCACACCTGCCTCAGGATATCATCAGCTGCACTTGTATTCGAAGTTATTTCATCTCTGAGGCTGAAATGAAGCTTCTGAATGAGATCAATGAGAGATACAGTGGCTACTCATATGGAAGAGATCCCTTCACTGGAGAGGACCTCGTGGTGCGACTTTCTGATGCTGGACAGTTTTATGAGTTTCTTGAGCTGTGTTATAGAAAGCTTGTTTTGAAGCAGAGCACTGCTCGTGATAGATGTGGATTCATTCGCATTGGTGGAGAAACTGGACCTGTTGTCCCCTATACTTCCAAGGACAATGTGAAACTCATCCCTCTATTTTTCTTTGAAGGTGAAATTCAGAACTTGAAAAGGAATAGTGTACGGGTTGATGGTTGGGAATTGGCTTATCTAAAGTTCTGCTGCAAGGTTCAAGGGATTCGCAATGAATTGTTCTCATCTGAAGTCTGTGAAGTTGTCAGTGTAGAGAATATCCGTGCACAGTTTCCAGCTGGGACCCCATTTGAAGAATGTTGGCCAACAACAGCAAAAACAGCAAGTGTCTCAACTGGTCCTATTAGCACCACCTCAGCCCCTCAGAATCCCATGAATCCTCACACCCAGGCTCAGCCACTCAATAGTTTTACCCGGTGGCCAAATTCATTAGTACCATCTCAGCTTACCAATGGTGCTACAGTTTCAAATACTGCTGTAGCAGTGGCAGCCACCAGAACAAACCCTCCTAACTCGGTCATTTCTAGTAGCATTGGGAATTTGCTTTGCAAGTGAGTTGTCTAGTAACTTCTTCAGGTGTTTGTAATGCTTTATCATTTCATGAGGATTATCATTAATATGTGCAGTGGAGATTGGAGGACAGCTGCATCTGCAATGGGAGGGAATCAAGTGCTGACTGCTTTGAATCGAACCACTTCAAGTCATCTGGTGGCATTGCCTGGTGTATGTGTTTCAGACAACCTCTCTAGGGCTATACAACATCTATAAATTATATAAAAATATATAATTAAATGTATCCATATCTTCATGTACCATGCATGGCCTATGATTGCAGTAACAAATGCTGTGTCATAGTTACAGAGCTCACTCCAGACCATTATGATTGAACTTATCAGAGAATATAAGAAAGTTCAGATGAAACATTTTAGCCAGTTTTCAATGCATTCTGTTATTCTTTTTTTGGAATTCTGGCAATTTGTTATTGGTTAATTAATGTACTTACTCTATTTCAGGCTGTGGGTCTATTAGCAGGATCTCCAGCTGGCACTACAGCCATCATTGGGACTGGGAATAATGCTTGTAATCAAGCACAACCTTTACCACAAGCTCCTGCCTTGATTCCAAGCTCAGTTGGGGGTTCAACTCAAGGTGCCACTACAACTGTCACTGCAGCTGTAAGGTGAGGATCAGAATAATCTCATGTATGCTCACAACTTGGAGACCTCAAAAAGACCTGATATGGAATTGATCAATCAAGGCAATAAGCAGTGAAAGCTGTGACTGAAAGTGATTAAGCAATGTAAAATCGGTTTAAAATTCAAGTCGATACCTAGAATATATGCTACTTTAACCATCTATACTACTTATATTTCAGTGTTTGTGTTCCTGTCCTTTATGCACAGCCATGCCTCTGATCCCAGTCTGACTAAACTTAGCATGGCTTCCTCATTTGGTCTGGGGATGGTCATAGGCTAGGTGGCGTTTCAAAGCTTGGACCCCCTGTGCTACCTTATTTAGTGCAGATTTGGCCAATCTACTATTACAGACCCCCCAAGGAGTCAAAATTTTGGGGGATCGTTAAGATAATTCAAGTTGTAACATGCAGCCTGCTACTGGAATTTTGCAATTGATTGTATAGTAAAAGCTGGATATTTTAAATAATTTCTTGCTGGGTTCGCCAAAGAGAAATTAAAATAGTATTAACTCTTATGCTGTATAGTAGAATTGATATGGGTTAGGGAGTACTAGCTGCTGTGTGAAAAAAGTTCACCACTGCAGTGAAAGAGTTTAATCCTCAAATATGGGACGTATACAATATTCACCTGTGCAACACCAGGTACCTCTGCTAATATATCTATAATTAAAGGCTGTGCAGTCTCATGGTCAGGATTCAGATTGTAAGTACTGTTTACAATGTCCTATAAATCTCCCTAAGTACTGGCTAACATGTCTAAGAATGTACATTCATAGTAGCTGAAGATGAGACTATGTTCTTGATGTGTGTTATCTCTGTTTGGTAGCACATTGTGCTACAAATTTGACATCTCATCTATACCCTCTCTCCTTTCAAGTAAGATTTTGAGCCTGGAGTGTCAGTGTGAGTTGTTTTAGAAGTGGCGGGATTTTGTAAATTTTATCTTATTTTAATCTATAATGTTGGTGACCGAAATATGAATTCAGAAGTATATGCACATTTTAAGCTGCTCCCTTGTCCTTGAAACTGCAGGCTGCTAAAATTCAAGGTTCCTAATGAAAGTTATTTTTATTGAGTAGTTACAGGTGCTCACAACTTTCAGGTCTTTTCACATTTCCAAAGAATTATTAGATTTAACTTGAAATTCATGTTGTCCTTCCATGGTAATTCATGCTAAGCAGCATGAATGTGAAGGTGATCCAGTGCTCCTTCTTCTTAGGGCTGCTCCACCACCATATGGACAGGTGAAAAGCATTTTACGGAATACCAATCCAGTGACATCTCCAGGGGTATTATCTCTTAATTTTCCTGGTACTACGGTGGCAGGGAAGCCATTGCCTCAACTTGTGCAAATGAATGGATTGAAAAGAACCACCTCAACCAATGGACCAGCACCAACCGTGATTCCTGCGTTGGCTGCTGTCCCTGTTCGGACACAGTCCAATCAGCCAAAACGTGTAGTGGAAGAAGTGATTGACCTTTCCAGTCCTCCTTCTAGTCCTCATCCAATTTCCCCGTTAGCCATTCCGAACTCAGGCACTCAATGCCAGCTGGGTCCAAGAGTGGAAGTGCTTCCTGAAATCTCAGCAGCTGAAGAGGCCAAACACCCCTACCAGATCTCACAGGCCCTAATCCATAACAAATTAATCAAGTGTGTTGTGAACCTCCAGCCATCTATCTTCAATGATCAGGTTTTAATGATGGTGGATGACCTAGTCAAGGAATTCTTCCCTCATTCCTCCAGGGACTCTGTCCTACGTGCTCTGGAAGCAATGAATGTCACCATCTACAAGTGCAACAGGTAGGATGAAAAATCCTGATACAAATTTGTAAATGTCATTGGATCCCTGCAAATTCTTTTAAATGGGACCAAAAGCCATGCATTTTTCAACCAGGAGCATGACAAGCTTTGTTTATGAGACTGAATGAGAGCCACCAGGAGAAGAGACAGTGAAGTTCAGTAGTAGTATTGTTTTAATCAGATTCCTTAAGATATATATTTGTTCATTGGTCTGAAGACCATGAAATATAAAATAGTGATAAACCTGCTTATTCCACTTAGATGCCATAACTTATTTCCATGTGATTTAAAGGTAGAAATTGAAAGGTCCTGATGCTTCTTAGAATTTATTCAGATGCATGCATATCCTGCATACTAAAAGGAGAGCTTTTCTGTCATGCTTCCTAAACAGTGAAAATTTAGTTATTTGAAAATGGCAAAGAAAGGCCATTATGCAAGTCATATCATGTCAGCATTTATGTAGTGGCCATACATAGGGAATAAGGATATGGGCTGTCCTTGGCCATGAAAATATGTTTTTATACATGCTCATTCCAAGTTGATCAGTGGGTCTTTGGGTCAGTTTAGAAAGTTGATTTACATGAAAGTAAAATACTGAACGAATTTGATTAACCTTTTCGGGTCTGAGTATTTTGAATATGTTGACACTGTCACTCAGTTTTTCCTTTAGATACATTGGCACTGCACCAACACAAGATAATGTGGTTGTGGACACCAAAAGGTTAAATGTCAAAGTCTATATATTTTTCAGACTTGTAAGTTGTAATTGAAAGTGACCTCTACTCAGTTTGTTAGGGGTTGAATCTGAACCAAAACACATTTTGGTTGGCTTGAAATTGTAAAGTTATAGATGACATTTGTTCTAATATTGAGTTTTTTTTTGGATTCCCAACAGTGCACAAATGAAATTGCTGCAGCAGAAAGTGGACTTGCGACTGAAACCAGGAGATATTATTCCCATGGTAAAGGTAAAAGCAGTGAATGAGTTCATGCCTCAGTTGGAATATATCTGCTCATCTTCAGGCACCACTGTCCCTGCTAAAAGGATGAGAACTGAATGAGGTCTCATCCTGATCTTTGTTGTGATTCATAAGCAGAGTGCTTATTCTGTGTAATAAAGTTGATTGCTATTAGGATGCACAATCTGCACTTTGGAAGAAGCATTTCAAAGTATGAGGACATTATATTTTGTAATAAATGTGTTACACATTGTTTGCCGGTGCAATTATTTTAAAACCATTGTTAAGTGCTTAGCTTGAATGGTGAAACCATGGAGTATTTTCACATTTAAACAACCAAAATTAGGCTCTTCATCCCAGAAGAAAATGTTGAAATAAGTTTAACATTTACTCCTATTATGTTTAAATTCTTTTTAAATGTTATTTCAAAGTTTACCAAGTACTCTTCTGGACTTTAGCCTTGTGTTTTACCATAGGGCATTTAGTAAAACTAACCAATACATTTGGAAAGCTCAATGTCAGAATGCAACAAATGATAAGTCTGCTAGGGTTGCTTTTTTTTGTGTAATTTCAAACATGCAAATTTAGCTGCTGCTTTGGTGAGTCAGTTCATGCATAATGGAATCGCCCAGTAGAAAAAGGCATAAGTTGGATTCTCAACAGCTAATTTCTTTACAACTTTTAGGAAATCATCACATGGGATGCAAGACCCTGTACATTTTCTCATGCTCATAGAATTCTTTGCAACCATGTAAAATTGGAGTCACTAGAGCATGTAAATTGAAAAAAGCAATTGAAAGTAAACATTCAAAGGTTTAAAATAATATACTGATTGCAGTTGCAATAGCAGTTGCATGTAAATGCAAGCTCAAGTCACCAAAAATACCAATTTTCACAACTTTGGAAAAAAACCTATAATTCGGTGAGGTAGGGTAAGCACCCTGACTTCTGGCTGGTTTCCAGTTATTGGCCAGTGAGGTATCCAGTATAATTAGTTTTTTTTTAAGCTCAATACCTTCCTGTAAGGCCCTATTACTGGTGTTTCCCAGTGTGCACACAGGGTGTCCAATTCCTATGGGAGTTGTATCAGAGTGGCCAAAAACTGGGGTGTTTACCCTATATCCCAATATTTAATTTGGGGGCTATTCTTGTGACACCACAGCTTCAACTTTCTTTTCATTAGACATTCCCACTGGGTAACCTAATGGGGGATCATCTTTGATTTCTTCTCTCCTAAACTTGAAAGTTTAGCAAACTTTTGAAACAACCCTAATAAATTTAAAATCCTGTATATAGGGTGATTCAAAATAAACACTCCACATTTCATGAGTAAGTAGATTCAAGCAAAAATTATAAGATTCATAAACTTGATATTAGACATATACAAGATGTTGAAGAGATTGGGTTTTTCTCATAGCAATTCTTTGTGCTTTGCATTGTCCCATTACAAAGTTTACACATGGATCTCACCTCAAATACGGAAATGGTCTATGTTCCATCATCTAAAAAATTCAAATAGTTTTCCCTGTTAGAGACTTATACCAATTTTGACTAAATTCTTATTTTTTAAATTGGCTTCAAGGCCAAATCTTTTGAAAGGGCTCTCAGGTAATACTGATATTTTATTGGCAGAGAGGCTCACGTAAGGTTCAAAAGATAAACCTTACAGGTTTTTTTTTCTCCTTAAAAAATGACATAGCATGAAGATAGGGGAGCTCTCTGGTCAACAACAGCACCCTCTAGTTTGTTTGTGCCAGTTTGTGCTCCCAAGATCAAATTAAAACTCATTTTTCCCAGCTTCCACTCAAAGTATGGACCTATATTTTTTCTACAGGCTATTCTCAAAATAACCCAACTGTTTGCTGAATATAATTGAATTCTGACACAGCTGAGCACAGATCATTACCTCACTCAAGGTGGCACGATCCACCTCTAAGTACCTTCAATTTACCTCTAAATGGGCATTACAAGACTTAGGCAGAGGTGCTGAAAAAAAGCTGACATACATCTGAACACCTTGTAACTGTCTTATGTCAATTGCATAGCCAACATATATATATATTTTTGCCTCTATGAAATTGTGTTTCTCCCACAGAAAATGGCAGTGTTTTTTTAAAAATCACACAGTACATGAGGAAAAATACATTAAATTAACTTATCTTGAAAAGGAAATTCTGAATTTTTTCCCCAAGATAAATTAATTTGATACAAAGATTCATATTCATACAACTGATATGTGCAGCTGAACATATTATTGAGATGTGGTCATGATGGGTCCCCAGGAGACTTGTTAGGGAGTTGGTTTAGTCTTTGCAGTTTTTTTTTGAGATTGTCAAGTGAAAATTTCAATGTTTTGATAAGGAAAGTCACCCTATTTGAAATTTCAGCTAGGGTTTTGGCATAGAAAATGATGGCAGTCAACACCAAGGGGTGAAATAGTGTCAACAAGGATGGGGAGAGTATGGTAGGGCATCCAAAAGGCTCAACAATTATATATTACCTGATGAAGTAATATAGTTTGACTGCCAATTTTTGGAAGCCATAGGCAAAAATATAACCAGTAACATTGCCCTGCAAGTAAAAGTGACACACTCATAACAGGCAATGAAGAAAATTGTTTTTTCAAACTCAATACTTTCATGTTTGTTTCAATTCAAGCTATCCACATCTTTAATTCCAAGACACAAGACAACATTCTATGCATCATGTGCAGAATTCAACCTTTGCTTTGAAGCTGTTCAATTAATTTCTTTAAGACTGCAATCTAAGAGTCACTGATGAAGCAGGCAGGCACAATTGCATGATGAACAACAAGAGGGAGATTTAAGAATCTTAAGAAAGACACAACAGGTGGAAATTATGCATCCCTGAATGAGACAAAAGCATCAAACTCTGCCCTGTCACAATTTGAAGCCAGCAATTCACAAGAAATTTTCATGCTTATGTATTACAAATATGAACATTGCCAAATGGTATAATATAAGGTCTTATATGATGGAACTCAGAGGTTGGAAGGCCACATTAAGGAAAAGACAGGTCTATCTACATATTAAACCATTCCTGCCAATATGAGATTTTCTGCAGCACTCACACTCCATTTCATGCTGGAGTTGATTCTCCCTTCATTCAACAACCTTATTCTATATCAATGTTATATGTGACAACAAATGAACTTGATGACTTCTGTCTTCCTGAACAGGCCCAAGGTACTTAGCATCAGTTCCTAAAAAGGGTTTTAAAAAAATAAAAACTAGAGCAGATTTATCATGACATTAATGGGAATAGTAGTCTTACTAAACACACCTTTTAGGAGGGGATTAACCAACCCCAATGTTGGCATGTAGTCTGCAGAGTTATGGCTTCTACAAACAAATTGGATATATGTCACCTGTTCAACAGATCCTACCACTGAGATCAGGATGTTCCAAAGTGGAAGTCAGAACTGAACCTTAGTATCCAATGTTCAACATTGATTCTAATGAGTGTATATGAGCAAATAGTCTTAGGTGGCATTGGGGACAAGTCCAAGCAATGAACTCCTATTGCAATTGAAAAAACCAAAAGAAAAAGCATAAAACCCCAAACAGAAGTTGTCATTATTGAGTGATTAAAAAAAATGACTGGATGAAAAGCAATCAACCCCATTCCAGCAAGAGTGAGCATGCATAGCAAAAGCTGCCAAGATTTAGATATGGCATATTGAGAACACTCATTCTCTCCACCAGTCAGTTATTGCTAACTTACCTGAATCACTATGCTGCTGAAGCATAATTCCTAATAATTGCTAATTTTCATAAATTTTATTTTTGCATTCTAATCATTAACAAGTTTGTCCCAGGCACAAAGGAGACACAATCATAACTGTGAGTGCCATCAAACTTCAACAACTCATTCAAGGAATAGGGTAGGATGCCATTGGATGGATCTTTTTTTTTCACTTCGAGTCCAAGGTATGCTGAACTTCTCAAAATCACAACCTTAATCAAATAACTTTTTTGCAATATGAAAACCCATTGGACTTAAATGAATAGTTATACTGAAGAAGGAAAAAAAAAAACAGGTAGGAAAAGTGCTTAAAATGTCATGAATAAACAGGCTGATGTTTTAGATTATTCGAAAGCTTCAACTGTTATTTTAATACCAGAACAAAAAAAAAGGAAGATCCACTCTGACAGGTAACCACAAATGCCAAGTTCAGAATCATGTCTTGTGTAACAAAATCAATGGCAGCTTAAAAGATTATCACATCATCCCTCAAGCCGCAGGAAAGAAAAGTTTTTATGACCCTCATTTCTGAGACTTCATTTTTTGAAGATGTTTCTTGACTTGATTGTCAGGAACAACAGACTCCAGGGTGATGAATTTCTTATTCCCACAGCCTGGGATAGGGCATCTGAAAAATTATAGGATGGACGTAAGCAGGAGTTCCATACTCAAATGATAATAAGACTTTGCCACTGTGAGGACCCATAGTCTTTGAAAAAATTGGCATTCCAATCCTGAACTTTGGATAAATATTCAATTAACAGCAAACTAGAGATGAAAAGTCTGGATTACAGGGAAAAGTACAATAAAAGCCTAATTTAGTGACACAAGAAACTTATTAGGTTTTTCTAAGTTAACTTTAATATTTTCCAAAACAGGGAGCCAGAACATACCGGACTTGAGGGTTACGCTTGAGCACATCTATGACAGAGGAACGATCATATATATGACTGCAGATGATGTTCCTAACAGGATCTGTCATGGTAAGGCCTGAAAAGGGGTCTATACTGGGCATTTCTGACTGTGTCATCACTATTTCTTCATCAGAGCCCTCCTCAGCATTCAAACTCTCCTGCACTACCTCCTGCCTATCTGTAATAAAGTAAAAAATATTTCTATTGACTTGCATATTGAGCTTCAATGCCAATGTGATATATCTGTCACTTGAAGAAAATTTCCAAAAATCACATACCTCTCAACAAAGACTTGAGAGCTTCATCAAAGTTTGTCATCTTTCCATGTTCCTTCAATTTGGGAACCTTCCGCCCAACTGACTTCATCATTGAGTTATATCTCTGAAATTTTCATTTTTGATTATTGACAGAACAGTAAAACTAATTTCCCTTTCTGGAAAACCCATTCCCTCTGGCAGACTATTGGAATTTAACTTTGGAAATGATAAAAATATTGTACATGGGCTGGTCAAAGAGTTCCCGGAAAAAGTGACTTCTTTTTGTCAGATCCCCATGATTTTTTCACTGTGTATTCTTATGTATCTTAGTAGTTCTTCCCTTTAATTTCAGATCCCTGTGATAAAATGGAGACTCGCAAGCGCACGCTAAGTGAAACAAGTCAGAGGATCTTGCTACCCTTAACGAGCAGTGACAAATGCGGGGCAATTTTGGTGCAGTTTCGGACCAGAGACGAAGAACCACAGGATGCAATGGGAAGTAGAAGTAGATCCAGGTTTCATCACCTGTGAGGATGTTTCCCACAGCTTCAAAGGCTCCACCGTCGAATTTCTGAAGCATGAATTCACAGAAGTCCACATGAGCTTTCATGTGATCCGGTTTCAGCTGGTGCGGAACCCAATGAGCACAGACCTTCCTCACCCCAAGGTGCTCGTGCTGGATCTTGATGACCGAGCCATGTGACACCCCAACGAGCTTCTCTAGTTCCCTGGTGGTGATCCGCCGGTCTTTGCCAGCATGAAGCGACTCCTAGACAATGTTCTCTGGATTGACAGTGAAATTTAGACCACCTTCACGGGGATCGTCGTCCAGGCTGAAGGAGCCAGATTGAAAGCGCGCAAACCACTCGTAGACAGTGCTCTGGGATGGAGCTTGGTCTGCAAGTGCCTTTTGAAGGGTTTCGAAACACTTTGCCGCTGAATTTCCCAGCTGAAACTGCACAAAAATTGCCCCGCGTTTGTCATGACTCGTCAAGGGTGGCAAGACCCTCTGACTCATTTCACTTCGCGCGCACTTGCGAGTCTCCATTTTAACACAAGGATCTGAAATTAAAAGGGAGAACTACTAAGATACATAAGAATACGCAGTGAAAAAATCGTGGGGATTTGACAATAAGAAGTCACTTTTTCCAGGAACTCTTTGACCAGCCCACGTATTCTGTTATATTATGCATTGTTGATGGTGACTGATTTTTACAATGACTTGGAGTCAGAGCAAGTTTCAGTCAGGAACATATGAAAGAACACCAATATAAAACTAATTTGCAATTTTTTCTTGGCATTTGAATCAAACATGCCAGTGAAATGGCAAGATACTTTTGGAACTTTGCAATTTTCAAAGAGGAACTCTTCCAATCTGCCTGAGGAAAAATGTAAAAATATTAATTTTTCAGGGTGAATTGGGAAGCAAGATGCCAGTGATACAGGAATAGTTGCAATTTCAGGAATAAGACACATAGTGGCTAATGAAAAATTAGTGCTTTTTACCAAAATATGGCTATTTTCATGGAGCCTATTTTCATTGCAGACATCTTTTCTTTTTCAAATAGAACATCATATTCAAAACTGAAGATCCCTGTTAAAATGAGATCATAATAAAAATATTACATTTGCAACTTTTGAAGATATAAGGCTTTGAAGGATCCCTATTTTTGGCAAAAATAAACCCTTCCCCCAAGCACAGGGAAAAATTGGTGAGAAGATGAAGTGACTCCTATTACAAACATTTATCACCAAAATAATCAGGACCTCAATTGAAGAATATGACTTTTTCCTTATTAGGTGAATTGGGATGGAGTGACCCTGGTGCCATATAGGCTGTCAATGATTTCACCGTATATGAACTCATTTCTGCTGAAGATGAGTGCCCCAGGCTTCAAAAGAGAGAATTCGATCTTGCCATGAAGAGTAATTCTAATTCTGACAATCAGCCATGTGCTCATAAGATTATACAAACATATATCCAAGAAACAAATATTGTAGAAAGAATTCCTAAGTAGGCAACCAGCTGAAATGGCACATTAGATATATCAATTGTGAGCCCTTGGTGACTAGATTGTGCTGGTGTAGATTTTAGCTGAGAAAGTTAAGAAATGAGGGGTAAATTTTAATGTTATATGTGAGGGTGAGGTCAGTCAGGCACAGAGTGAAATTTGTGGCACACTCCCACATTCTTCATGAAGAATATTGGAGATGAGAGCAGCCACGTTGAATGGAGGCCATGAGTGCCACTTTTGCTTGTATCCCACAAAGAATAATTCAATCACTTGGTCGCTCAAGACTCAAACTAACGTTTCATTTTATTTGGGTTTGCACTAGACCCAAACCAGCTAACCTCAGAGAAATGATAAGCAAAGGCCAAGTAAGCCTCATTCATTGAGTGTTTGAGCCAAAAGAGTGATAAAGCCACTGTACTTTGGGAATGACGGGTCACTTGGGATTAGAAATTGGTCACTGCTAAAGGCCACAAATGTGGGCTTTGACACCAAAGAGATGGGAAAATAACTGAACTTCATAAACTGTGCTATTGTGGTGATGGGTCTCACTTGAATGAAGGATAGCATAGCTTGGGAAAATTGAAAAGCTATGACATGAGAGGATAACTCACTTTTGGAATGTCAATGGAAGGGTCATTCTTCAACTCAGCTTGTAAAGACTTTATAACAGTTACATGGGTCTTGAGATTTTGCTCTGAAGTTATTGCATGCTTCATAGCAGACTGCAGATTTTTCACAGCCTTATTTCTTTCATCACCTGTAAAAATGGGCCATTCAATACCTAGCTAGGACTCCACCTATCACCTACCTGAACTTAGGGTAGGCTATTTCACATGCTAGCCAGAGCCAGAAACTTAATCTATGATTGCTTGCCTGACCTTCAAGGTATGTGATGACAGGGTTCAAGGAGGTGATAGCAGAATCCAAGATCTCATTTATACTTTTTAAGACTGCTGAATCATTCTCCATTGCAATCTTAAGTCAAGAACTAGTGGGCTTTGGCATAGGCTGTGACAAGAATGATAACTTTCACCATTCAGTCTGCTGCAGTGGACAACCTGAGGATAAAAGAGTTTCTAGTGAAAAAAGAGGCAATCCTGTTGCACGATACCTAAAGTCTAGGAGCATGTACTAAAAGTTTGGTCAACTGTGATGCTATTGTATGGCATTTTTCTGTTGAGTTTGATATTTTAAGCTTAGCTAGTTGGACACAGCTCCAATATATCCCACCAGTAATGGCTAAGTGTGTGCCCCATAACTTTGCTAAGGAAATTGCACTCTCCCAATCTAGGATAGGTTATGGTAAAGTGAAGCTGGAGAAGTCTTTACTGAACGTGAGAAGTTCTTATATTCAGTATATATGTATCCCCTCCCTCGGGCTTTGCATCTTCCTTTCTGCTAACCTCCCCCCCTTGACCTTGAGCCAAAATGCGCCGCTGCCTACGGGCAGTGTTTTCGTCACGGTGGAGCACAATATTAGATTCACCCTAGCCTAGCCTCTCGTGAATTCTTAATTTCGACTATAGATTCAAATCGCCCTCTTCCGTGTTTGTACTCTCAAAGCGTAATTTACTTGGTAAACCGGGCATACAATGCAATTGAACTGTATATACATTTATATAGGTATATATCGTGTATGCCATGGCCGCGATAATGGGCGATGCCATGTCTCGTTTTCCCTGACATCTAGTGTACTCATCAGATAGCATAGTACCTCCTTTCCACTGCAGGTGCCATCAATTCAGAATGCTAACTGGAGGGAAGTATGGAGATGAGGATTCAACTTGGAAGATTGCCATTGGAGAAAATATTTTTGCCAGGAGCGTGGAAGATTTCATGCACACTCATATCATTTGCAGCGATCAAACTTTCCTTTTGGACTTTTGATGGAATTTTCAGTCCTAGGCTGAATGTTGCAGCCTTTATAGGTTGATTCGTCATTTGTAATGTTGCTAAATATCCATTGTGTACCACATATATCAATATTACTTTGGATGCCACATCCGACTCTGCGGACAGGCCATACCTTTACCTCTTCAAAATTGCATTGGAATGCGAAAGTTTAGGACCGAGGGAAATATTACTTCCAAGATAGGTTCCAGAAAAAAATGTAAAGTATTGCAATAATGTGTCCTTTCTGCTGTGTCCATCACCATTTCTGTAAACCTCAAGGGCGCTAGAATTTCGCGAAATATTATTTATTTAAATGGCTGTTCTTCTATTAGGTATCTATGGGTTTTTAGCAGCTCTGTATTGTAGAGTAAATTTTTTATTTTAAAGTAGTAGCGTGCAGGATCATCCAAAACAAAGACGAAGCAGTAGCAATTATGCGACCATGAACACGTTCCCAAGGCTTATATCAGTAGCCAGCGACAGGAGTGAACGTTCGGTCTGGCCCCTGTATGACGACAATCTGGAGTCAGTTGCGAATAGCGGAGGTATGACTTAAATACTAATTGATTTCTTTGCTTCCGCGTTTACTAGCGAATCCGATGACGTGCCGACCATAACGTAGATCACCTTCCCAGCAAACAAGGCTGCGTTGGACCAATGTTGTACCAACATTACGAACGTTGATTCAATGTTGATTTAACGTTGATTCAACGTTATGTGTTTCGAATTGTTTGCTGGGTTGGTGTGCATCCCAAATTTAAAATCCCGGCTGGAAACAGCTGGACTCCAGCTGGAAATTTGAACCCATTCCAATGAGTAACAGCTGGAAGGTAGTCATCTCCAGATTTGTTCCTAATTGCTATATCACTAGGTATTCACCTATTTCACCAAGAATTTTTCTGTTGATTATTTTTGTCAGAGGTCCATCTTCAGGAACGGCTGATTTTCAACTGTAAATTTGGCTACATTCCAGATGTAGGGTACTCTTTATAGAATTAAAAGTGGAAATTTTCCAGCTGGAAATCGCTATTAAAACCAGCTGCATTCCAGTTGGAAAATTCCAGCTAATAAACAACTGGTACCTACTATTTTCCAGCTCTTTGGCAGTTGGAAATGGTCCGAATTTACAGATTTGGTCCAGATGGAATATTCCAGTTGGGATTTTAAACTAGGTCGAGAGATCAAAAAGATACATAAAGATCTTGAGTAGGGTAGGGAAGTTAAAGGCAGGAAAGGCCTTTAAGTAAGAAAGTAAAAAATGCAACTGGACTGGGATTTGGGAAGTATCGGTACCGTTGCGAATACTTTTCTGGAATAACATTTTGCGTGATGAAGTTCCTCGGAATTTGATATGTGCGAAAGTCATGAAGAAGGAGATGAGAGCAATTCGAGAAATTGCCAGCCGTTGAGTCTCGCGAAGGAAGGTCATGGTGAGTATTTTGAGCGAATACATCTTAATTCCACGAGGGAATCTCGTTTATCCAGGGATTTTCGGCACGGCTTTAGGAGATGACGAAATTGCCTTGCATTCGCTTAAGTATTACGATTGGGTGACGGACGAGATGGGCCGAAGGAATCCTGTAGCCAACGTCTACTACAGTGTTTTTCACTTGAGTCAGACATTTTTTCACTTGACTTCGCCACTCATGCATGAGGAACGTCCCATGGACGTGTGTCCAAGCCAAGTGAAATATTGTCTAACTCAAGTGAAAAACACTGTAAGATTTCGCTGAAGCTCTCGATACCTTTCTCACATGAGGTTATGGGCTAAATAGGAGGTACATGGAATTTGAGGAGGAGTGAGTAATTGGATACATAACTGGTTGTGGGGAAGAGAGCAAAGAGCAATCGAAAAATGAAGTGTCGGCGGAAGCAGTCGCGACTGGAGTTCCCCTGAGTGAGTTCCTTGAACCGCTTCTGTTTGTGGTTTACGTTAACGATTAAGATAAAGGCCTCACTTGCAAAATCACTAGCATCAGCAAATTTGGCAATGTTACGTAAATACGTTTCTCCATCGGGAGGAGAAGGGGGGGGGGGGGGTACAGAACGAGAGCGTATATGGATCTACTGCTTTGGGACGAAGGGAGTAAAAAAAGCACATTAAGTTCAATAAGAATAAATGTAAGATCCTCCACATCGAATATAGTAACGATAGGACTCTGAACGCGTTCGGCTTGAATAAACTGGAGATGGCAAACGAGAAGAAAAACTTACGGATGGTGATCTATGAGGAACTCAATATCTCCCCGCACGCGCAGGCGGCAGTTGCCAAATGTGTAGGATCTCAGCCACAATCCAGCTTTCCATTGCCAATAAGAGCTCTGCGTTATTCTTCCGTTGTATGTAGCACTGGTATGAGCCCATTTAGAGTATTTTCTCAATCCTGGAGGCCTGCAAATAAACGTAATCGGCGCTCGAGAGGATTTAGAGGCGGGTTACGAAAATGATGCGAGAGGTATGAGGATTTTCATATGCGAATCGTTTAGGAAGGTTGTGACTCAACTCGTTTGAAAGAAGGCTAACGAAGGGGAGCTCATTCTTGCTTTTTAGATCATTAAGGGAATTGATAACGTGGAGCGTGATTTTTCCAACTAGATGGTAATAGCAGAACGAGAGGGAACCTGTTCAAGTTGTGCAAACCCTAGGTGTGGCTCAGGTCACGGAAATACTTCTTCAGCGCCATACCGAGGATACTTGGCGCCCTGTGCGAAATATCAGTCCAGCGCCCCCCCCCCTCTGTACCTCTCCAGCTTCCACAATACCAACAATACATTACGTATTAATTTCTGTTTAATTTAGTTAAATTCAGGATAATTTGCATTTTTTTCTAAAGTTTTATTTACATTTTGTAATAATCCGGCAGCCAATCGGCGCCCCTTCAGTTCAGTTCACTTCAGTTCGGCGCCTTGTGCAGGGGCACCGTTCGCACACCCCTTGTTACGGCACTGTACTTGTGTTGTAAATGCGTGGAATGCGTTCAGTAACGATGCAGTGGCTGTCCGTTCTATATCTAGCTTCAGTCTTCATGGACGAAACAAAACTGGGAGCAAATATAACCGTGAATATGACTAAGCACAAGGTTCCCACAAAAATGTCTATCTTTATGAGAGGTAGGCCTATCTTACTATAGATTAACGCTCGACTTTGATACGGAAAGTCATAATGGGTGAAAGTGTATCTTGATGTCCTCGATATCCGAACCGTGAACATTGAACCTTGAATATCGCAGTTCAAGGCATAATATCCATAAATTCTTGATACGTCCGAGGGAAAAGCTTGGGACTCTTTTAGAAAGAAAGATTATTAGTCCCATATGTGTCCATGTCTCCTTTTTGTTGAGGGGGGAGTGAGAAGGCTCCTGTTTCGATGATAGCCTCACAAGCTCTGGTATTTTAGACGGCATAGAAATCTTTCTGGCGAATTCCCATCTCGGACGGAAGAAACAAGAATCTCCAATAAAGCGGGAAAGAAAGTGGGACGGGGCCACTTATCTTGTTCAAAAATTATAACGTCACCTAGAAATAAGAAATGCTCTAATCACCTGTCAAAAATGAGGACAGATATACACCCATATACGGGAAAAGCAAGCCGGCAAGTTCGTTCTCTCCAGTAATTTTTTTTTCCCCTTGACCCAACCGAGCCACTGCTCCTCTTATCCAGCATCCAATCAGCTTCAGAAGTCTCACTGTCAGCTTTTAATGTGACGAGCCAAAGGAGGCTTTCGATGAAAATCTGCATAGACATCATTGAGGAAAAGGCTGGGCGTGCTGTGCTGGAGCCAGCATTTTCCCTTGCTCAGGGGCCTTGGGCTGGGCCAAACGAGCTTTATGACTGAAACTGTCTGGGCCAAAGGTCCATGTTCATCTCTTCCGGTATCAAAATAGGATTCCAAATTAAATTAGTGTTTTAAATCTACATTCCATTTCTCCATCGTGGAATGTAGTGTGGAGTGCAGGGGTCTTCCTCTGAAAAGACATGAGTTAAACATTCTGAAATGAGCATTTTTGCACAATGCAGGAAGTAATGGAACATTTATAGCTCACTGGCGGGGACAATCGGTTTTGGATTGCCACTACAGTAATTACTGACGCACGATGTGCGAAGGAAGTGAACGCGCAAGAGGGCTATTGCTGTAGTTGCCATCATCAAGCTTGTATCATCATACACTTTTTATTTTGATGGAATGAAAAGGATACCAATTTCATGATTGAATTACAATCCATTGTCCTTGGAGATTTTCTGCTGTGTTCTTAATGGACAACGCCCGAGTACAGATGAGTGTGTCTTATAGCTTCATGCAGCACGATTTATTCCACTTTACTCGTGTTTCCTAGAGCCTATTGAGCATACATTTTCAGTGAACATATCAGCAATTGGAAATTTGACCTCCTGACATGTTGCCATCGTTGGCAGGGCTGACGCACTTTCAAGAAAGATGGCTCTTCAGCAGTAAGGAAATGCCATTCTCAAGAAAGTAGCAAGGCGTGCCCTTCATGTTTACATGAGTGAATGCGGACTGCCTAATGCGTACCTTTCGGTGCTAAGGAAAATGTGTCGCAAGAGATTAAATCGATGGATAGATGTGAAAGTCCGAGAACTACGAAACTTCTTTTTTTCCCATGCTTCCTGCCCTAGTCCTTGTCTGGGGTCGTGTCTGGCATGTAACACGATAATTGCCAGACAACACACCTGTCTGGAGACTTGAGGAGTTCACGAGGTCCATTCCCTTCCCCCGCGTACCCAAGGCCACCCGCTCTGGAAAACGGAAAAACACGCCAACCCCCCTCCTGAACGTTGTATCTTAGTATTATAACTGAAACCCATTAGGGGGATTCCCTGCTCCTGTGCCCCTCTCCTCAGATCTCAATCATCATCAAATAGAGCTAAGAAACGAAAGCTGTAGTCGCTAATGGAGCACAATGATTGCACTACACTCGATGTGTGCCCACTCGTTGACATTCCGTTAACTATGTATCAGGCAAATGCGTCTTCAAAACTCATGCAATGCTTGTGTGATCTAGCTGTGCAAGAAAAAGAAATAGTGCTGTAAAAAAAAGTGAAAAAGTGAACAAACAAAAGATTTCCACTTTCCACTCAAGTATCGACGAAGGCATAACAAAGCATAAAAAGTCAGGAAAGCATCTGGACAGTTTTTGAAGAACAAAAAAACAAAGGTTTCACTGGGCTGCAAATCTAGTTACTTTAACCTGTCCATTAATTAGCTTAATTAATCGACAGACTAATCGATTAATTGGTTTTAATCACGATTTTTAAAAGTTACTCTCGATAAAGCGAATATAGAAAGGAAATTTCTCATTTTATTTTATAAAGAACGACATGAATGGATTGGCAGGACTGCGCGCCAGTTTCTTCCTTCGCCTCTTTTTTATTTTTGCATTCCCTTGGCCAGATTCAGTGAAGGATTTATGGGTTGATTAAAAATCGATTAATCGATCAAACACCCCAATATTTAAAATAGGATTAAAGTATTTGATTGATCCGCATCCATAGTTCTAATAATTTTCTCGTTTCAAATCGTCACTGCTAGTCAAGACGAAAGCAGAAAGTATTATAACTCATATTGTGTCATAAAATCAGGCGACGATTCAATCGACATCTATTGATTGGTTTTATTTTGACAGAACCTAAATATAAAAGTTTTTAAAACCCTTGTTACTGGTTGTCTAGTCTGATCTGAGTTTTATACTGAATGCATTGCAGAGATTCGAAGAATCTCTGATCGTAAAGAAGCGTAAGAATCGTGTGGAAAACAATGACTTTCCAGGAACCCTTGACTTTCTGAATCACAGACTAATTGTATAATGTGATACCTTGTGCGCGGAGATTGTAGGCCATAATAGAACAATTTTAAATTCTTTTTTTACTTGAAAATGTCAGCCGTTATCACAAAAAATGCTTATAAACGTGATGACATACTAGAATAACTATAATAGTTTTCTTGAGATTCAGGTTACTGCATGGGAAGAACTACCATTCGAATCAAGGGACTTAAGTGTAAACTATATCATGTTTTCAATTTTCGTGACGATATCGTCGAAATGTACGGCAAGTCATAGAAGTCCGAAATCCGCCCGGCGCCGCAACAGCTCCATATTCGACCCCAGCAAAAGTGACAAGCATTGCAAACTGTCCATGCATCTGAATTAATGTTTGCGTTCAATGATATCGAAAAAGCTTGAAGAAGGGGCAATATAAGTCAATCGATCCAGAATTCGCTGAATTCTGGATCGATTTCGATTGGAGGGGGAGTGGATTGTGGGATCCTTTCCTGTTCCTCCAAGGTCCTCCTCCCCCCCCCCCCCCCCNTCGATTGGAGGGGGGGTGGATTGTGGGATCCTTTCCTGTTCCCCCAAGGTCCCCCCCCCCCCCCCCCCCACTAATGAAAAGGGCTTTGCCACTGAAAGTAGTGACTGTAAATTAAGAAATAAAGGAAATTTTAATGGCAAAAACGTAGAGAAATCTCAGGAAAATTTTTGGTAAATAGCATATAAATCTCAGCTAATAAATCGCCATTTTGGCAGCAAGTTTCGCCGTTTCCTTTCTCGAACATGTTCCAGAATTCTTTAAAGTCTCGTTCAAGACCTATGAGGATGACTCCTCTGTCTGGCATCTTTAGTTTCTTTTCAAAATCTACCATGAAGTTGACGAAAGTCTATCGTCACATGTTATTCGCTTTTCAGCTAGTTAATTTGTCCGTACAGATTAGTGCTGCATGCAACTTTGGAATTGCGCATCACGATCGAAGTCGACAGACTGGATTCACACTCACAGAAGCCATTCGAAGGCCAGTGGCCTTAAAGAATTTCTGCATGGTTCATGGTCAATGAGACCTTGAGCGAGAGCATCACATGCAGTCCTTGCCCCTCGATTGTGACGAGACGCAATCCGGTTCTACAGCTTGGCGAAGAAAGTCTCATCGAATGTTTACCTTGGAATGTTTACGAGAATTGCCTAGAGGCAATGTTTTGACGTTTTTCAGGCAATGACCCACATAGGGCAATGGACGACCTTTTCTGTTGCATGACAGTCGTCTCATAACCAATCAGGAGACGGATGGGGGGGGGGGTTAGAAAAGTTACGAGACTTTTCTTTACCGAAACACCCTCCACCGGTGGCATTCAAATTTCACTACAGAAATATATGTGCTTCTTCGTAAATATGCCATTGACTCCAATGCTCTATGTTCATTCAATTTCAGTCTCTATATATATATTTTTAACAAGGTGACTTTATTCCAATGATAGTTAATGCGAGTGATGACTGAATCAGGCCTGCATGAGCCGTAGCCATTGTCGAGGCTCACTTCCCGTCAAAAAATGCTCATGTAGACTTAGGGCGGATTTTTTAACAGAGAACTATCTGATAATGCAGCTTTATTTACTGGATTGATCATGCATTTTCTCTGAAATAAAACTGCATTATCGGATAGTGCTCTGTTCAAAAATTCACCCTAAGCCTTTCTTTTTGCTGCCACTTTCCCCATGAGAATATTAATTGCTAAGGTTGACTTCGTGTCCTCCGCCAAAAATGTCACATCTGCCCTCAGCTCTCTGCTCAGACTGCAAATTTTTTTTGACTTAAATGAAGTCACTTATTAAATATAAAAAAAGAGATTTAGTAAAGATAAAGTAATAGTCAATTGCATATGTGCGAGGAGATATGTATTTGGATGTCACCGATGGAGGATCATTGTTTCTGAAAAGAGTCTCAATAGTTTTCAGAATGCCGTTTTCCCCCCCACATACAGACACGTACTGAATTTTTTTTAAATATCGCTAATGGGCTTCTCCTTATTTTTTGCAATGGCAGAATGTCCTTGAAGAGAAAAAAGTGGAAAAATATCCGCTCCGGCTCCACTTTTGGAGTACGCAAATTCCCTCATCGTGCCAAGCATCCGCTGTTGATCATCATAACATGACATAAACATCAACGGCCTGATTTTAACGGAATGGGAAGATTCTGAGGCACGTGGAAAGTGGGTGAGATGGCAGATGAGGATGATAATGCAATGGGTAGTGCCGGGGAAGTGGATGTTTGTGTGACTGAGGTGGGTGGGTGAGCTAGTTTGCAGGTGAGTGGGAGGGAGAGTAAAGGCAGGCAAGAGACGCCAGGTCTTACAAGGGGCACTTGCACCCTCAAGTTATAGGAGAAGACTTCTCTTCCTCACTTGAATCCCGTTCACGCAAACTCTCAGTTCAGGGATCGACGATGGGATTGGACCGTGTTCCCGAGTTCACAGCCCTGGATTACGTCGTTTTCGGTCTTTCTCTCCTGGCTGCATTAGGAGTGGGATTGTATTTTGGCTACACTGGTAGGAAGGAATCTCACAAATCCTTGATCGTGAGCGATGGCATACACATGATCCCGGTCGTCCTATCCTTGATTGCCAGCTACCTCTCAGCCATTCTTCTCCTCGGTATGCCAATTATTCCAAGTGGTATTTTCTTACGATTTTCATAATTATCCAATACGAATCTGTTTCACCTACGAAAAAGGCGCATTTCTTGCATTCTTAGAATTCTACCGTTCTGGATGACGAAGGTGTTTCTTGTGAAAGTTCAGCAATTTATTATCTTTGGGTGATGAAGCATCCCGAAGTGTGACTACTAACAATTCTGTCAGATAACAGCACAGTACACACGAATATTGATCATCGACGGGGTTTCATAGCAGTCATGCTCTCTGGGCTTGAATAGAGTTACGAAATAGTCAATATTTGTACCATTCATTGAAAAGAGTGGAGCCTTTGAATGTCAGCATGGATTCAACTTACCAGTAACAGGAATTCCGATCCTTTTTTTCTTCTTCTAAGTCAACTACTTATGAATTCAACATTTCTTTGGACGCTAATCAATCCTGTGAAATCGTGTTCAAATACTGCTGAACAAAGCTTAGCCATATCTGAAATGAGGACTTCAAATAGGGGAATCAGCAACTTTGTATGAGTGTGATCGTCAGATAGGAGTGAGCTGTTTGCAATAGACAAGTATGGAAAAAAGTTGATATTTTGAGCTATCGATCAAAAAGTATTTGAAGTTTCAGATATAGGTATCTACTACTCAGATACCGTAACTCCAGAGGATCTAGCATGCCGCGTCTAAATCTTGAATACTTCCCATATTGATCAGTTGTACCATTTATTTTGATGCTTTCACCTAGCATCTTGCACACGCGGCTTGTACGTCTATACAGGGGCTTATCTAAGATTTCATTTTGGGGGGGGGGGATGAGGTCTGGCGTTCAGCTCAGAGGGCTTCTAATTATTACATACGCAGATCTACAGGAAGAATTCGCGGTAGCGTTGTTACATACCAATCGGCTCTGTTTTTCGCTCTGTCACTATACCACTCGTTAGCAGTTGGAAGTGTAGAAAGATGGTGCATGTAAAAAATCTTGTCACTACAGTTGCACCGTCGTCCCCATCTTACTAAGCTCAAATTAGGTAGCCATCGATGTATAAAACGTGTCATCGCGAGTGGGTTTCGATTACGGTAGCCCACCTTCTCTAATTAAAATCTCAATTATCGACCGCTGTCGGAAACATTTGTGGGTGTAGCAGTCTTGAAACCGATTAATGCGACACCTACCCTAAACAGGTTTGAACAGGAACAGGAGGTAATATGCAATACCATGGCCGATTTATTGAATGAATGCTTTTAAAAAAATTGGAGAAGTGAATTTTTTTTAGCAACTTTTATAAAGTGGAATTTCCCGGCTTCTAAAGGGGCAAGCCAAGGATATTTTTTGCATTTTTGTTACTGAATTCACTCTGACCCATCACTGCAGAATCAAGGAGAATTTACGATTTCTCCGGCGATTCGGATGAATCCGATGTGAATTCTTCTGGACAAATGAAACAATTCACATTTTCTATGCCCTATTCTCTTGATAAACATTGTATACCATGAGTACACAATGAGTATCACCAGTTCACATGATCGTGTCAATTTTCATAATCGGAAAATTGGTGGGAAATATTGTGTACCACGGGTACACATTTATATAGCTCACTTTCACCCATAATATTTTTTCTATACCGAACATGAATGTTGCATTTTAAGGTTTTCTCCCGTTCATATGCATCGATGTGAGTTTTTTTTCGTTTTGCCCTTAAGTCAGGTTCGTAGAAGCATTGCTTTTTCTCCACGTGCCACATTGAATCCTTGTAAATATCCTTTGCCCCATCATCGGTGGGGCAAAAGTCTTATCAGGATGTTTTCTCAATAATTGGAGAGAGACGGGTTAGTGACAGCCTCAGGTCGTAAGAGGAAACCTATCGTTAGGCTCTCTACTAAACCTATCCATGCTACAGTTAGGCATAGCTCACGGAATGTTTAAACCTAAAAAATGTTGGGCTCAGCACTTCTGACTGTGACAACATACCCCCTGTTGAAATAGGATTGGCTTCGGCCTAAGGGGCTTTTCACACTTGGCGTGTCATGCATCCTTTACGTCAATGCTTAGGCAGGCAGGCAGACGCACGCGTGCATGATTTCCCATGATGATTTCTCATGATGATGTTCCCACATTTTGGCCGTGGAACTTGTCCAAGTTCGCCACAAAAGTAGCGGTAACTACATTAGGAAAAAATTAAAGGGGGAAAAAAGTTATGGGATGGTTGAGATCTTCCCAGGAACTTGTGAGGTATGAGCGGGTAAGAGTCTTTCGTCGACTAGGATGCTATCCTGGGAGAGCCCTGGATAAGCATATCCTGAGATTAGTGGGTACAGTGATTCTCACCTCCCTCCTGCTGCAAAAAGCGCCTCCGGGAAACTCAGTTTATCCCAAGGCTGTTCCAGGACTGTCCCACGTATGCGTCTGAATCGACCCGTATTCTTGGACCTATTCTGGAATTGGTAACAGTTGAGCCAGGCTAACTCGGAATCATGACATCTCTATAAATAATGACCCAATCCCAGGAATTCGCTCTCCAGGGAAAGACTGCCAGTCGAAACAGCTATAGAGGCTCTTGACATTTCTTCACATAATATTGCATGAGGTCCTCTTTATTTCGATTCACAACGTGAATCGAAAGGCAAAAGAATGATTTGCCTTGAAGGGGGAAGGAGTAAGGTTGGAGCTTTTCTTGAGGTCAAAATTCTCGATAATAATAACCCCGTAATGCCTACGGGTCACATTCGTGACCCATCAATTTTTATTTATTAAGAACTAGAGCAGTCACTTCAATGACTCTTGCTGGCAAATTAACAAAATCCTTACCCATATTAATAATTACAGATAGTGATAACTACCCTTAATTAAGTTACTATAAGAAGACAAATTAAAAGCAGATTATCTGGCAGCCATCTCCAAGATGGCAGATCTTGAGCAGATGACGCTTGGGTATTACAAGGATACGGTTTGGTTATTATTACAATTAATTTTTTTTTTCAAGGAACCCCAGCGGAAGTGTATGCCTACGGGAGCCAATGGTTTCTGACAGGGATTGGGGCGATGCTCGGGACCCTTACAGCATGCGTCATCTTCGTTCCCTTCTTCTACCGTCTCCGCATTACCAGCATCTTTCAGGTAACGGCCACAGGCCTCCAAGATTTAGTACTACCCGTGTCGTTTTCCCGAGGATGTATCAAGCGATTCTTCCGCAGTATTTCGAGATGAGGTACAGATCCAGAGTGGTGAGGCTGACCAGCAGTAGCATATATTTAATACAGCAAGTTTTGTACATGACAGTCGCCTTGTACGCCCCGGTAGTGGCGGTTTCCTCTGTCACCCCTTTCCCGGAATGGCTCGCAATCATCGTTGCTGGCGGCATCTGTACCGTCTACACAGCCTTCGTAAGTCAGTCGCTTCTTCGCATTACGCTGGCATAAAAATATCAGATGCGACTCCATGATGTTTAAAAGAGCCTCACACCCCGCTGTGTTGTACAGGGTGGCCTGAAGGCTGCGGTGTGGACGGATGCCTTGCAAGTCTTCCTCATGTTCGGAGGCGTGCTCCTCATCGTCATTCACGGGACGATAGAGGTCGGGGGAATCGAGGAAGTCTGGGCTAGAGCCTCTTCACACGGACGAGGACAGGTTTTCAAGTGCGATTGAGGCAGCATTATGTCCTCTCCGTCCAAAACTTTGTCGAACAACGTTGCATGGAAACCTTTCCCTCCGTCTGTTCCTATGCGTAGCTTCTCGTTCGACGTGTACGAGAGGCACACGTTCTGGAAATTGATTTCCTTCATGTGGCTGGGTTGGATGCTGGTCCATGGATGCAATCAGCCATCTCTTCAACGATATTCCTGCATGAAGAACGAGAGGAGAGCTGTCGTGTATGTACACGTTCATTTTTCTTTTCATCTCTCGCTTGACTTACTAACGTTCGTTTGATTCTTTGGGGCATGCATAGGAGCGTGTTGTGCAATATTCCCGGGTCCATTTCCCTCATGTTGTTGGCGGCATTTTCGGGACTGGTCGTATTCGCTGTCTACGTAGACTGTGATCCCTTGAAGGCTGGATACATCAAGAAGCAAGATCAGATCATCCCATATTACGTCATGGATAAGCTCAGTCATCTGAATGGTTTACCAGGAATCTTTCTCGCTGCTCTCTTCAGTGGAGCTCTCAGGTAATTTGCCATTCAGGAAGTGATAAGGCTCTCTCGGCTTTGATCAGTATTCCCGATCTGGCATCATCAAAACACCGATTTCCAAAACCTCCACTTATGAGAGTCTCTTTTATGGGCGGGAAGGGATCCAGTGGCAGGCTTCATAATTCCATTGGAGTGTTTTGTTTCTCATAAATACCTTGGGGTTGGCATTCATCATTGTAGACAGTCTGAAAAGACTATGACTTGGCAGTGAAGCTGGGTAGCTTTTCATATGCGTCAAGAGCTTTGCACTCCTGAAAGAAAATCCACCTGTGCACTAAAGTTTGTAAAATTGTGAAGATTTTTCATTTTCGCACCTCTAAAGATTAAGCATATTGTGCATAGGAAACCTTGTACCTTCCTCCCGATGTGATGCCGTAGAAGACTGGGATCCGAAACTATCTGGGATATGCATTTCGATTATGATTGATGATATATTGTCATTGTAATACTTATCAGCTAGTGTTTGACGTTTGATTATCATCATTTTGAGACTGCTGATACGATTTTTGCTTTCATTCTTCCCCTTGTAGCACGTTATCATCCGGTTTGAATTCCCTAGCTGCTGTGACTTGGACAGATGGAGTGATGTTCACTTCATGGCATCCAAATCTCACCGACAAACAGTCCATCACTATCATCAAAGTCATCGGTAAATCATCACATTGAACCCATCATGATCTTATCCAGTCCCGGCCGAATTATATTGTTTAAGGGAAAGGTCAACGTGAATAGTTCATTTGTGCCATCAAGTAGCAGATGACATGTCTCAGATTCCGGCACATTTAATCAAATCTCTAATACGTCATCGTTTCCATACTCGGGTTTTTCAGCATGACGACAAAGAGTTTTCCATAACGTACTTACGTATCAACAGGCCATGGACGCTCCTGACAGCTCAGGCTGAAGACATGTCATAAAGATTCGATATCGAACTATCATCCTGAGGGTAATTAAAGAAGCTTCTGATTTCTCACATCGGGTGGAATGCCACGAGAAAACCATTGCTCTTTGGGTCCTTACAGTGGTAGAAAGGGATATTTTTCATTAGAAAATGGAGGAAATAGGTATTCCGAAAGTTGAGCAAAAGGGAAGGAAGCGATAGGGGTGTCGTGCAAGGATGGGAACCAAAAAAATGAGATGTATCTATCAAGTGAATAGGGCTGGGGTGCACGTGACACGAATACTCAAACAGCACAACACGCTTGTTGACATCACGATAGAAGGCAGAAATTCTGTTTGCACAGGCATCTAGGAAGCCGATTCGAGCCGCCATCTGGTTTCTCTCAGGATCTGGATTCAGAGGTCTTTTCGGAGGGTTTTACCCTAGAGGGAGTAGCAGGATGGTGCATTTACCGAAGGATTCGAGGGTAGTCTGGGCAAATGAGTTCCGTATCGCATGCGGATCAACGACCCATTACAAGCTCAAGGTCCTGATCTTGCTCATGGGAAGGCTCCAGGGTTGTAATATTTCGTCTCTTTTAACGCTGAAGCGTGCGAGTGGCTCGGTGGGGTCGCGGGAATCGTTGGCACGAGACCTGGGTATGAAACGACGAGGTTCACCTCCAATTTTCTCTAGCGCAAACTGCTCGTGACACAAACTCGAAAATGCACCTTCGGGTACTTTCAAATGCCTTCCCATTCCTCGTAAATTTTCGTGATTCCTACATAGCAAGCTCCGCCACTGTGGGGACACAAAACGGTGGAGTGTGGCGATGTCGGTCCCAAGCGTAGAGCAACATTGAAATCCTTATAAGTGAAAGAGTAGCACCGATAGACATTGATTGCCCGAAGAAGGATTTTTTTTATTTTAATGGTGATGAATGTGTCAATACATGCATTGTGCTTCGCTTGGTGTCTTGTGAACCCTCATAAAACGGCAAAGAACAACGCGGATGTGAGCAACATGATCCTAGAATTTGGCTTTCAAAGTATTACGTGGGGCGTGCAGGGGGGAAGGGAGAGAGGGAGGGGGGAAAGTGCCCAGGGGGGCATTGCGTCAATTGGCTAAAATTATCTGATTTCATCATGCGTTTATGGGAATCAGGTCGAGGAGTATCAAGGATAAACTCATCCCCATAGAGGTGCAATTATGATCAGATCAGGGCCAAATTAACGGAACCCTTAGCTCGTGCGCTTAAATCCGGATATTTCAGATGCATACCATATTTGATGGCACTTATATGACTTTAAATTTTGGCCTTCCTAATATTTGTGGACACTTGCTTAGAACTTAGAAGACATAACTTTCGTCAGTTCTTTATTACATAATGAGGAATGGAGATAGCAGAAAACCTGTCCTGCTTGAGGAAACTGGAATGTAGTGAATTCTGCATTGCATGCGACGATGTTTAGTTTTCGCCCACTTCACTTATAGAATGTGTTTGATGCCGTGTTTTCTATACAGCATTTGGATATGGGTTGCTGGCAATGGGATTGGCATATGTCGTGTCTTTGTCCGGCACTGGTATCATCACGACGGCACTCACCTTAGGCAGCGTCACTAAAGCTCCCCTGGTTGCCTCCTTCATCCTCTCCATCTACTTACCCTTCATCAACGCCAAGGTACCACCAGACCTCCACTTAAATGCCTCCACTCAGCTTCTTCGTTTGGAGATGCCTCCCAAGAGTTACTCTTGCTGCTCAGGGGATCTTTTCGGGGATGCTGAGTGGGATGGCTGTGACGGCCTGGTTGGTCATTGGGACCAAGGTGGTCGGGGTGTCCCCTGAACCACCTATCCCTTCGTCCATTCAAGGGTGCCCTGGTTTCAACGAAACCTCCCTCGACAAGCTCTCTACGATTTTCAACGAGACCCTAATCCCTACTGCACAAATACCTCACTTATAGTAAGTTACCACAGGCACTCCTGTAACCCAAAAAGCATATGAATTATAATGCGAAGTGAGACTCAAGGTTTCTTCAATGGTTGAAGTAATGAATACCTTGAAAATAGCATTCAAAACTTCAACTGGAACAAAATTTTACTACAGTAAACTTCAAAATAGAGCAAAATGTTGTAAAGCACGGCATAACATTCATAATATTGCGAGAGGTTAAGCATTGACTGTTACGGGAAATGTTGAGAGTGATAATTAATTGATTTTCAAACGTGTAATGTCCACGGTCATACATTGTTCTCCATATACTGATCGCTGGCTCAAATATTCATACCTAAATCTACCAATAATATATTTATTCACCAAACGCGCTGGAGCGAGATCAAGAAGGAAGGATGAAGAGAAGGAGAGATAAGTTATATCTATTTTCGATCTGCAAGAAGAAATAAGATATATACCCTCTCTTTTTTCCCTTCCCCCTTTTTTTCTAAAGGAAATTTAGACCGAAGCCGTTGCTGGAGATGTGAGAATGCACACTTGCAGTCCTTAGGCAGCCCATTTTACAAGTGCTTTGCCAGTTTGTTCTTAAAATTACCTATGGCGCGGTGCCTACAACGTCAGCATACATCTTCTACCATTAACCCACTCAGAAAAATTCCTGCTTTATTTTATTCATTGTCTTCGGTTTATATAATTTAATGGATTGTCACCTGGTAATTGAATACGTATCATGGATGGTAAGAACTTAATCTTATTTATATACGTGAAATCGTTTCCTTAAATGACTTAGGAAAGCATAATTTATATGAGATTTTGTTGAAAAAGCGCACTTTCATGCGAAATACTGATGAAACCATTCTGCAGAAAGATGAGAAAGTACCATTATTTTACAGATCTGACGATGCTTTTTGCCATCTCTTGCTTTCAAAAGCAGTAGTAGCAAAATGTACTGTATGTTGGAGAAGACAAAGGCCGAATGAATTCTAGAATGAATTCTAGGTAAAGGCTTTCACGGATTTATGTAACTGATTTAACCGTTTATGGGGTTTTAGTTTCTCAAGACTCCTTGAGAACCACTCATAAACCACAAGAAGGAACTGAAGCATAAAAAAGAATAACTGTTGACTGTTTAAACCATAATTTCCTTGATGATGAGGCATGACTGTGGCTTTTCTAGCTTCACAGATTGCGTGCATATTCCAATTGGTCTGTTAATTTTAAAGGAGAAGGACCCTTTCCCGCAAAAATCCTTGAGGATGAGTGCCGTCAAGGTTTGCGTGACAAGAATAAAAAGTCAAGGTCAGATAAAAGGAGGGGAGAGGGTGCATTGAATATAGGGGGAACTTTTCTTGCGGAACGGGAGTCGAAGGCCATGAAATGACCACAGGGAAAATCCTTTCTCGCCCTCCTTTCCCCCTCTTTTCTTCCGTCTCCAATATTCAATCGCAAAGGAAAACGTAGAGTTGAAATGACTGAATTTCCCTTGCAGCCCTCACATCTACGACATGTCTTATCTGATGTATCAACCGATCGGGTTCCTAACGACGGTGTTCGTGGCTCTCGCCGTCAGCATCGCCACAGGTGCCATGAATACAGTCCATCCAGTCCAGTCTTCAACATAATGATCGTGCTTGTCAACGAAAAATGGGAACTCTCTTAGTTCTTTTCCTTTTCACAGACGATTCTGAGATTGCGTGGTCCGTTCCATTTTCTCCTTTCCAGGAATCTAAGATGCGGCATTTCACTGCATTGATGTGGCCAAAATTACATCCATATTTTTAAAAATCCACGGAGCTGCATTGGATCTTCTTAAAAGCACGAACTGCTACCAATTTCCCATCTGCTGCAGCTCCGCTGATCGATGATTTCCGATAAAGGTCTGTGCTTAGGGTCAGCTACGTTCCGGATATAATTTACAACAAAGGTTATAAAGATTACATCATGATGATAACATCCTCAGAGCATTCTAATTCCTGTGCTGCGCAATGACAAGAACGAACGCTTTGTTCTAGACTTCAAAAACTAATAGCTGTTGCGAGGCCTTTCAGGAATACCTCAACTTCGACTTTGCAGGTGGATATAACTTGGATCACCTGGATGAGACCGTGGTGAATGGCTGGTGCCTCAAAACATCAAGGAAGTTGAAACGAGTCTTCTCTGGGCATTCGGAGAAACCACAGCTTCCTTCAATCGAACTCAAGTCTCCATAATATTTTTTTCCTTCCCATTTTTGTTCACTTGGGCGGATTTGCGTCTTCGATCAATACAGGGTGCTTATAATTTGACTCAAGATGCCTATGGGGGGTGAAAAATCACAGGGCCTTTTGGATTTCGCTCTTTTTAACTACAGCTCTAATCGGCATAACTTACCTTATCGCTTTGGAACTTTCATAATTTTTTTTTCCCTCGAAGAGTAGTGAGTACGCTCTGCATGAGTCCAGGAAAGCGAACCACCATCCTACGAACTAGCGAGGCTGAACACTGCGCTGTGGAAGTGTGGAAGGCAGCCGTTCCGGAACCTCTTCATCGGCGCAGACGATTTAGCTCAATTATTAGCGATTTCACGGAAAAAAGTAATATGCGTTTATCCGAAAAACCCCGCCTGATAAGAGGTTCGGGTCAGGAAGTACAAATCCATCGGATCAGGTTCCTCTGGAACCTTGAAACCATTCCTTTTTTTAAACATTTCATAGGCTTTAGCATTCGACCAAAATAATGGCCACCGCATCCTTTTTAAATCGCAATATGAGGAGTCCTCGTGGCCACAGTCTTTCAAGTGTGACGGACATGGGAACCACACGTAACGATAGAAATTGGAAAAATCAGTGCCT